CCTATCGCCTTCCTACTTTGTGTTGAATGGGTAATGTAGGGTTTTTACTTTTGATGTTAGCATTTTCTCTTTCTTGACTCATTTCTCTCAGTAGCGGTGGACGATATCATGGCTACGTAGAAATAACTATTTATGAACGTTCCTTTACATGTGGTTGTGTTTCCTTCTATATAGCTAAGAAATTCTAGTTGCATGAAAATACAACTCAGTGTTCTGAAAAAGTACATTTTACCTTATAAAATGGTAGCCGCGGTAGTTTTTTTCTCAGTCACTGCATTTTCCTGAACAGGTAACATGCCAAGACCTGTATTACTGAGGACTCAGACTCTCCCACTGTGCTGGCCTGCCAAGCACTATCTTTTTTAGGAGATTTTGTCACCTTTAATTCATCCTGCATCTCACATAGGGTTGAGCACAGGCCCGCATGTCATATCAGGTGACAGTTTCTTTGTGCCCTTCATTATTTCCCTCCACGAGCCCCCAAATCACTGGCCAACATTTTATTGGGCTGGCCAAAAAGTTTATTTGTGTTTTCCTATACGACGGCTCTAGTGGTGCTTAGTTGTCTTTAACGTCATTTGAAACAGTTTTGTTACATTGTATTGTGACAGCTGTCTACCAGTGTGCATTTAAAAAATTATCAAAAATGGTGAATTTTTTGGGTAGTCATTTTAATATTCAAGACGGAAGAAAATATGCAACATTTTCAGCATAGTATGCTTTATTGTTTCAAGAAATGTAAAAATGCAACCGAAATGCAAAAAAAAAAAAGATTTGTGCAAGGTGTGGAGAAGGTGCTGTGACTGATCGAATGGGTCCAAAGTGGTTTGTGAAGTTTCATGCTGGAGATTTCTCCCTGGATGATACTCCACAGGCAGGCAGACCAGTTGACGTTGAGAGTGATCAGACCAGACAGTAACTGAGAACAATCAATGTTATACCATGTGGGAGATAGCTGACATACTCAAAATATCCTAATCAATAAAGTTACCCGAGAAAATGAAAAAGATATCTTTTATTTTATGGAAAAAAACCCTAAATGGACTTTTTGGCCAACCGGATGTTTACACCAGAGCCCGGAAGTGATGGTGAATTAAACTGGTACTGTCATTAGCTCACTTGGAGTCCTAGGTGGTCATTGGAACAAGGTCTGGGACCTGGGGTTTGCTTTTCAGTTCTGACCAATGTAGATCTATTATGGGACAAAGACCTGCACCTGTTTTTATAGACATATACAGGTACTTTAAAAATAGGTATCCATGTATTTGTGTGACTTTATGTAAACAGTATTAGAGGCAGAAATGCCCGTATGAGGTTATTAAAACATAAGTCCTAGTTATGGTAACATGAAGCATTGCTGAAATTATTTATATTTCTAGTTTTGGAAGGAAAGAGTTAACAGTGGGTCTGTAACTCTTCCTCCCTCTGTTTTTGACCCTGGCCAATCTCCTTCTACTTATTGAGTGATGGATTTACTGGATAGAAAATCAATGAGGATCCTGCTGTGCTTGCTGTGTACTGATTACTGAACCTGCAGGATATATTTCTGAAAGATTTTAAATTGTAAATGATCCTTCCATCTTTGGACCTTGGGGCTTCAGGCGCACTGAGGAATCATTAGTTGGAACACCCCTACAGAGATATGGGGCTCGCAAAGTTTTCCGTGTGAGGGACCCTAAAACCTAGGGAACTCGACCTTCTGGAGGGCAAAACACGTCCTGCAGAGAAGGCACCTGAGAAGCTGTACCTGATGCACTCAGGTGTCCTGGTCCTTTTCTAGCTGATGCTGCGGGTCCTTTTGGTGTCCTTCGTATTTCATGTGAGGCTGTTTGCCGATGGGGGCCCCTGTGACCGTGCCATTTGTACAGAGTTTCATTTTTTAAAGTTAAACTTTGTATCCATTGTGGGAGGCAGGTCGCCCAGGTGTCCTTTGCACCATTTCAGAAAGATGTGGTCTGGTGGGGACCGAGGCAGGAGGAGGTTTAGAGCTCCGGAAACCATCTACTTAGCTCTTAGCGTCTGTCAATGTACTAAGCCCTCCATGAACATATTTATTTTGCAATTATTCAGCGTGCAAAGGACTATTTACTGCGATGGTCATAAAACTTAAGCTTCGGAATCCTTCTCTTTCACGGGCTCCATCTGAAACCTCGCGAGAGCTCCTGGAAATACGGCCACTGTCTGTTTGGTAAAATCGATCAGCGAAAGATGCTTTCACCATGATCCGTTCAGAACAGTATCTTTCCACTCCCACTTCTCTTTGACCATCTTTCTTGTGTTGGGTGGTCTGGAAGGAGCCAGCAAGGAGGAAGTGTGACTGATTTACGGGGGTTTGTGGAATGTATTTCCCTGGTGGGATGTAATTCTATGGCTTGCAGTTAATATTTATCTATAAAGAATGCTGGCCATCCTGGTATAGGAATGGTTTTGCAGACTAACCCTGACCCCCACTGTGTTGTGATGATGGAGGAGGCAAGAGGACTGTTGTGTCATGAAGTGGAAACCTGTGCCATGACAGGAAACCTGTCAAAAGTGGAGGAGAAGCAAGTATAAAACATGCAGAATCAGTCCGTGGGGCAGTCTCACGAGTCCATCGTAAAAATGTGAGAGGAACTTAACAGACCTTCCCCTAAATTGAAAGTGACCTACACACTTTAAAATACTCACCAATAGCAAGACAGGGATCCAAATCTCAGCTATGGATAATCAAACATATTTTTAATCTACTATGCTAGAAAAACGTATTCTTTCTATCGAAAGTTACCTGATAAACTTATATAAAGAGATTCTCAGAAATTGCAGCCGCAAAACACACATATAGGATTAATCATTACAGAAGTACTTCGTAGAATTAGTGAAAACATTGATACTTTCTAGGATTTTCTGATTGTTTTTGGTATTGGTCCATTCTTTCAATTAATAATTTTCTATAATAGCTTTACTCATTTTAACAGTAACTGGTTTCTCTTGTATGGGTAATTTTGTATTATTTTTCTTAAAGAGACACCACATTTTATGGACATCTGGTCTAGAAATCCCTGTGCCTGTGAAGTCAGCCATACCCTGCAGTTTACACATGAATAACTTAAAACCCTTTCCACTGAGCTTCCTTTTGTCTAGATTCAATTACTTGTAAGGGAGAAACAACATCTGATTCTATGCAGACCATCTCCTTCCATGAAAGGAATAGGCAAGGACAGGTAATTCAGTTATTTGTTCTTGAATTCTATTGAGTGCCAAATTTGAGGCTCTTTTATTTAAATGGACACATAGTACAGCTTTCCCAGTGTACTATGAATATGTAATTTTTTCCATGAATATGCAGAATATTCTGTTACTGCTGTACATTTACTAAAGTAAATTATCGGATGTACAGAACACCTCTTGATTAACATATCGCGTGATGTATGTCTTAGAGACTATTGAAATTTTTGGAAATACTTATTGTGACATTATGAACATATGTTAGAAGTTTTGTAAAATGTTTAATTATAAGAAATATCTTTTTGAAACTAAGTATAAGCTATTTGTACTTTATAAATAGGGTATATTACCATGTGATGTTTTATTTTACACATGTGGAGAATTTAAGCAAGTTATCTCTGCAGGGTAATATGCTTTTTCAAAACTGTAAGATAATTCTGACCCGGATGGTCAACAAACAGAATCAAAAGCCTTTTCTGTAGAAGAAAAAAACTGGGAACCTCTTTAAGAAAGAGAATGACTAATCCAGGTAGACAAGACTTGAGTTTATTTATATGATTCATATCTCCCTTCTTGAAAGGACATTTACAAACTTAATTTCAAAAATAAAAGAACTTCTGAATGACACATGTCCACGTTTCCAAGTCAATATTACAGGTATGCTCTTTTGTGATAAATTATCAGTTGAAAATGTTCCAGTGGAATCTGGCATCAGTTAATTTAACACTTCATATAAGAAATAATAAAACATTTATTTTCAAGTCTTACATATATTACTTAAAATAGATACAAATTTCAGTTTGTCATTTTTTAAAATTTTACTGCTATTTCAAGCTACCTGAAAGAAAATACCTTAGTGAAAAAAATGTTTTGATCATTTTTAATAAGTATGACTTTAAAAACACACACCGTTACTAACAGTCCACCATATGTTATTGAGCAATTAGGAGGTCAAATAACGTATAATTTTATCTCGATAGAAAAGAAATAATATTTGTTGGGCAGTTGCAGGTAAAATAATTTTTGGAGACTATTATACAACTTAGAATCAAACTCACAAAGTTAATTTTTTTAAGTATAACATCGAGCGTATTCATAAATAATTGCTTCGCTTCCAACTTTTCATATTAACCTGCATGACTGAAGCACACGGAACACAAGAGGTGAGAGAAGGTCGGAACAAAATTGTACATCTGATTGTTTGCTTGATGGAGGCATCCGTTGGTGAAAACGGCTTCTCATACACATTTTCCTGTCCCCAAATAGAAACTTGCTGATTCTCCGTATATACAAGTAGCCTGTGAAATCCTGGACTCTGAGTGGAAACAGGTTGAGGTATCGCACTGAATACAGCATCAAAATGCACAGATGTGGCTGAAATTCACCCAAGTTACCGTCGGCGGAGAAGGGCTGGTGGGAGTGTGCGTTGGACCATCTTCCAGGTTTTTGCCCTCTGAGAAATTTGTGGGTGGCATCGAATAATGGAACTCTTCAACATCAATATATACAAAGGCATTTTATTATCAATCAAAGAAAGGGAGTGAGAGTCGTCAGGAATTACAACTTTATTTTGTCATAATACATATATGTGTTGCCATCGGGGCTCTGTAATTGCTGTAAAATTAGAGTCAGATGGAGTTCAGAGACACGTGCAAGTTTTGGAAACGGACACATAGATAACAGTGTAGAACTGTACATAAAATAATTACAATTTATTAAACACACTGTTTGAGCACATCCTTCATGGATGCAAATGAGCACCATTTCTTTTTATGAATATATATTTTTCTCTCTTGTTTTCTACAGCACCAAAGAAATCCAAATGGGGAAAGGAGAGATGAACATTGGGAATCAAGAATAAAGCTCGTTTCCATCTCAGCCACATTACCTTATTTTTAAATGATTTTCAAAGCTCCTGTCACGTGATTCCGCCCCGCCAAGGGCGCCTGTGTTTCCTAACCGGTACATACATATGTAACGAGTTGTTTTCTATACCATCCTTACTCAAAGCTTGTATGTGGCACAAAATGGGTTGGTGGCACCAAGGTATATTTCCTGTTGATTTCGTGTGTTGTTTGTCCTAATCTTAGCCAAGGAAACAAACAGGACCGACTTCGAATCCAAACTTCTGATTCTGATCACCAAAGTCATTAATCATTACGTCAACGATAGGCACTTGATCAATTTTCGGTGTATTGATTTCGATCACAGTCTTTTCATATCCTTTTCTGGACTGTAAAGTTAAGCAGAAATTTAAAAATGTTATACATTCACTTTATATTTGTAACACACATGTTATTTTTTTTCTGAAGCCCCTGAATGGAGGTAGGAAAGATGAGGAAGAAGAGAGCAGAAGAGTGTATTTGCCATTATCGATGTAATAATGAACGGCCCTTGTCCCTCATGTCCTACGTGGCTGTAAATTGTGAATGCACACAATGACATTCAATGACTCAGCTATAGTAATCTATGTATTGCACAGCTGAAGAGAATCTTACTGAATTGATAAATACAGTTTAGTAGGAAAACTGATATTGGCGTTCGGTTATACACCTACATACGTGATATATCCTTAGGGTTAAACCCATAATTTGGATATAGTCCAATTTTTTAAGAAAAATTTGAACAGAGGAATGATAATGCAAAAGGTCAAAAGCCAAAGCATTTCTGCTGGTATATATGAATTTTGTGAATAATGATCAATAATTCATTGCTACCGGAAAATCCCAAACACTTCCTCGCTCCTTTTCATGTGCTCCAGTGTCTCTTCTTTGACCGATGGACACCTATTCATTGTCCGAGGCAGGGGCCCGTTCACCTGTGACTGTGGCTTCTCTGTAGTCAACCAGCTAAAATAATGGGCTTTTCAGGGTGCTCTGTGGGCCCCTTTCTTACGTGGAATTCCCACATGCATGAAAAGGACAGTTCAGAGGATAAAAAGAATAGTAGCTTCCAAACCAGTGTGATGTACTACCAGTCAAAAGCCCCTTATAATTAAAATACACGGTTAGGAAGGATCTGTGGTGGTTCCCTCACCAGTCGTTCCAGAATCATGGATTTAGAAGGCAAACGAAATAAGGCTTTTGAGACATTTTTTGTCATTTCAAGGAAAACTAGCTGTAAACATACGTATTCAACCATCAGGAATAATTCCATACAAAGGATCGAAAGTGAGCTTCTGCTAAGTCTTTAAAAATGGGTCTGCCTGCATGTTTCAGAGTTTCTGTGTTTGTGTGTGTGTGTGTGTGAATATTTATGGTGTCAGATATACTGTATTTTGATATGTCAGTGCTAAGCGTCGCGTCTTAACAACATTTCATCTGAGACATCGTTCCGTAGGAGGCATCGGACGCAGGGCCAAACTGAAGGTCACGGCTGCCTCTCCCCTTGGCACAGGAAGGCCAGTGGGGGCAATACTCACCGCGCAGCCGTCGGACAGCGCTCTGATGTAAGGGCTGTTGTCGTGGGACATCTCCTCGTCATTGGACCCCAGGAACCGCAGCGCTTTGTCATAGCTCCCCGATGACACGTCGTACCAGGCCACCGACTGATGGCAGTGGTAGGTGAAATTCTGCCGGGCCGAGGCCGTCAGCAGCTTCAGGAACGTCATCTGCACCATGTTAATGGAATTGCCTTCCATGTCCAAGTAGGAGAGCTGGGAATGAAAGTGAGAAGAATGTGCAAAGATGCTTTTCCTCCTTTTTGTTCTCAGGAAAAAAATCCCCGTGGACGGAGCACAGAAGCGTGCAGATGACTCAGCAGACCCATTTTTACTTAACCAAAGGAAGCGTGAACAGCGGGTTAGGAGACCCAGAGACAGGATTTTGTGAAATCAGCATTCTGTTCCCACCCGGGTTACTACTGTAAGCACTGCTTAGCTTTGACAAAAACCACTTCAGTTCCATGCTTTGGTCTCTTTGTCAGTAAAAATTGCAAAAAAGATGCTTTTGTTTCCAAGTCCCCATGTATTGCATTTGTCTTTCTTTTTAAATAGGAGAAAGAGCAAAACAATGAGAACTGAGAATATCGGGGCACAGTAGAAGTGAACTATTTTTCTGCTGTTTGATTTTCCCTACTTTTTAAGAAATTTCATAGTATATCTAGTGGAACTAAATTTTAAACACATTTCTGCACTTTTCACTTGGCAGCTTGTCGTCTTCTAAGGCATTTCCGGCCTTTAACTTCAGCACAGACCTGCCAGCTGACGCACCCACTCCCCCGATACAATGCCTGATTCGGCACAAGTGGACGTGAGTTCAGTCAGTAAACATCTCCTCTGTTCTTACAACAGGAAAATAGTCTCAACTGCAAACTATTAAAAACTGTCTGTTTTACCAAGGTTATAAATTGTTTTAGGAAGTGTAATTGAAAAAAGTAGTGGGCTCAGCTGAGACATATAAACTTAGATTTTTTTTTAAAAAATTAAGTAAGAAATTTACCCAAATTATATTGAAATGGGAAAAAGAAATAAATTAGGTTTCAAGCAGATAGAAAAGGAAATAGCCAGACCCAAAGATGCTATTTAAATAGATATATTCTCTGCACCTGATATTTCTAACAGAATCCATTTTTATGATGGTTCTCTCAGGTACTTAAGAAAATGTATAGTATATGATCATATTTGGTAAATGCAGTCTATTTCCATTTACTTTTGATAGGAAAATTATAGACTTCTCTAAAGTGGTCTAAGAGCAAGACACAGGCAGAACTCAAGGACACAAGGGGCCCTGCTTTAGTGTAATGTAGACGGTCAGACACAGTCTCAGGAGATATATAATTTGAGCTGCATGTACGAAGTTCAAGGTAAACCATTTCATGTTGAGGTAATAACATACCAGTTTTCCTCTCTTAAATTCACTAAACCAGCTCCCTGGTTTCTCCTTTGGCCACGATGAAATCCTTACCTGTTGCAAAAGAGCAGGAAAATCAGACATTAGGTAAAAATTCTGAGCAATCATGTTTATGGATATACCAGTAGTTCCCGGTAAGACTAAGGTGCTGCAGAGCTTGCAAGTGGTCTCCTCTGGGTGACACAAATTAGCCTAAGGGACAGCATTTGAGATTGATCCTGTGACTTTCCCTTTAGTGAAGACTGAGTCATTCCCCCCCCACCCCCGTTTTCTTCAGTTGCTCGAAAAGAAGGGGGAAATCCTCTGGTACGGGCACACTCAGGGCCACAGCGGGCACTGGTGGGAGATGTAGGTGACCTCTTGTAAGGAAACCCTCACCAGGCCCTTGCCAAGGCCGGCGTCTCTGTCCTAACGAGACCAGCCCCGCACTAAAGCCGTTTGCTCTGACTTGAGTTCCTGTGCCTCTGGAGACGCACACCATTTACAAAGAAGAAGGTGATTTATTCAACAAACACAAATAAAGGCAAACTTTCCCACTTGTGTAATGTTTGGAGACTACAGTGATGCTAGGGAACAATCTCTCCTTATACTAATCATTAGCCTTCAGCTAAAAGGTAGAAAATGTGCTGACAGTGCTGGGTGAACATCGAGAAATGGGCTTGAAGAGACGACTCATTAAAAAAGTATGTGTGTGCAGAGAACAGGGGCCTTTTACGTGAAAAATAATTCTTTATGAAGCTGTATATTTTCAGCATCATAGCTGTGAGCTCTACCGCGTGGTGAGTGGGATGAAGAATACAACCCACGCACTGACATGTGAGCCAGCTGCACTCTGTCATGGAAAGCCACGGAATTTCAGAGAGCAAGCAGGTGCAAAGAGAATGCACACGGGTTAAAAACGGAAGAAGTATTTGTTAACCCCACCCATCATTTGGGTGCCCGATTCATGTTTATGCAAATGAAATGCTCTAAGTACCCCATGAGAAAAGCAGACAAATGAAAACATGACGGTGTGATTTTCCAGTTTCATCCACCATTGCAAACACACGGCAGGGAATGTCCACGGTCACCCCCAAAACTGACGGGTACTTACGCCCTCAGACTTTTTGTCTGGATAAATGCACGTCTCACCCCCGGATGTGAAGTTACAGTAAACCTTGAAGGAGTCCCCGGAGCAACCTTGGTTAGGATCGATCCAATATTCACCTGGAGGGAGGAAACATATGTCAGAGACAAATCCACGTAGGTGTAAAAGCAAGTGCATTGTATACCAAATTTTATTAGAGGAATAAGGAACAATGAATATCCATTGATCTTTTCCCATAGGAATTTTTTTTGTGTTTTTGGTCATCTTGGGGTCAATGTTTGGGGACTTGAGGAGTGACCCTTTGTCTTGTGAGCCTCAAAGCTGTGCGCCCAGACCCTCTGCCTGGACACATCTTCTTTATTCCCGGCATGGCCTGATTCTTTTAGGGCATGTCACCTCAGATACGAACATTCTATTTATCATGGGTGATGAATTGCATGCACACTGGCATCAGATTTTCTCAACCGAAATCCCTTGAAGTACTATTTACTACTTAAGTCATCTGAGTATAATAGCCAATATTTTTTCTTGGTTTATTCATTGGTAACAGTGGAGGTGATAGTATCTACTCGGTCTCAAAAACTATACCTTAGAGATTACTTTGGAGCAAAACTTTCTTGTGGCCAATGTACTCCTCCTTTGAGTGGGATCCCAAGGAGCAGGTCAATTTTATACCCAGGGGTGAGCAAAAGTAGGATTACAGCTGTGAGCACATAAACCACCGAGTTTATACTTGTATTATTCCTTATTAATATTTATTCGTATTACAACTGTAAACCAACTTTTGCTGACCTCTGCATTTCAGTGCTGTTTGCTATTAATGTCGTTATCTAAATGGTACCAAACAATTTTTACCATGTGACTAACCATCGCCATTAATTTGGCATTAATTTGGCATAATCAAACGGTAAATAGTAGGAGTAACAAAGCTGTTCTTTAAGGAATCGACAATATGGCTTAGGTTACCAAGAATCATCGGGAGACAGAGTTGATAGACACTGGAAGATGACTTTGCCTCCCTCCTACCATTTTTCACACTGCCCTTTCATGTCAAATGTTGATTTCCATTCTGTCTATCCACCGAGTATGAACTTGAACCTTTTAACAGCCCCCACGGCTGAGCTCTGTACTGGCCTCTTGAAACAGCCATGCTGAGCTGTCTCCTCTTTGGCTGCTACTGTTCATAAACAGGGAGATTACTCGCAGAGTCAACAAGCTTCTGCTGCATGTCAGGGGACCCCAACTGTATTACTTAACAGAAACATTTATAATTTTTTAGTTTACACAATTAATAAATCATATCTGGAACAAACGGAAATTCTCAGGGAAAACATATACAATTAAATAAAAATCGCCCAAGATTTTACCAGCCAAAATAACCCCTCTTATCTTGGCTATTGCTTATGTTTCTTAGCGATATAAAATTTTGAATTATATGTCAAGCATTATTTTTATTTTATTTTATTCAGTTAACATTGTCTTTAAGTATTCATTTGAATCACACACTGATAGCTTAGTCACTAAGATACTGTTGTTCAATCAACTCAGTGATCTGTGGATACTATTTTCAGTTTATCTCCTATTTATTCACCTCCTGTTTATATTGTCACCCCCTGCCCCTCATCCACCAGGACACCATGATCTCTTGTCTGGATTTGTCCAACAGCTTTGTAACCCGCCTCTTCTGTCCATCCAGCTTCTGTACCAGTCACTTCAAGTCACTTCCACTTTGCTCCCTGTGGTCCAGCCACAGGACCTTCAGTTCCTCAAAGATGCTAAGATCTTGCCTTCTTCAAAGCCTTGCCGAAGTCCCCCTACCCTCTGCGGGGAGGACCCTTTTGCTTCTTCACATGACTGGCTACAGCTTTAATGTTTCGGCTCAAAAGTCACCTCTTCCAATTATAACATTTTTTTTAATCGAAAATGGAATCACCCCTTAGTTTACTATAATAAATACCCATTTTTTTCACAGGAGGTTATCAGTATGTGGGGCTCTCTCATCTCCATGGTTAGATAATGGTAACTCGAGAGCACTGTTCCTTGTTTATCTGGGCATCTCTGCATGAGAATAGTGCCTGGTACCGCTAAGTAAATAATAAATAAGTGCATACATATAATAGTAGTCAATTACCACACTGAAGAATTAATAAAGCAGTTATTATATGGAAGCCACAGGGGACTATAGCCCACTCTGAGCTTTCCATTCTGAAAGTTTATTAAATGTTTTCTGGACTATTCAGGTTGTAACTAGTCATGTGTGGTTTTCCACATTTGATTTCCAATGATATATGATTATCTTAGTCAGCTAGATCAGAGGGCTGAGTCACTCCCCTTATAAATCACTGAAATAATACTGAGCTAAACATATCTTTTCAAAGAAACAGAATATAAATCTGAAGACTTTGGACATCAGCTTGGATAGAGCCATTAATAACTACCTGTGTTATCATTTTATTTGACTAAATTTATTGGGGCAACCTTGGTTAATAGGGTCATACAGGTCTCAAGCATACATCATCTGCAGGTGTGATCATTTTAACAGGCTGCGTTTCAGCGAGCTCAATTTTACGGTATTCTTCCCTTTTGGTGGTTTTGCATCGTGGTCAACTTTTCCATTTGAACCAAGTTATTCAGACCTCAGCTGCAATATTGGTCATGTGCTTGGAAGTTAAAATGATATTGTCGCAAGAGTAAAAAGAGGGACAAAGTATTTCCACCTCAAGTGGGAGATTTCACATCAGAGAGAGTTCTGCCCCTGCTTAGTTGGGTAATTTGACTCAAAGTGTGACGTGAGTCAACTGGGGACACTTGCCACCAATTCCATCTCAGAATATATATGTTATGCTTTTGTCTAATACTGGGTATGGCAAATTATCCTTATTATTATTACAAGTAAATGGTTTACAGTTGTTCTGCTTATTTGTGGATCAATAAAATAAATGTTTGCTCCAAGCTATCCTAATTCTTAAATATTCTCTTTATTGGATCAAATGTGATTCAGTTATGCTACTTATTCATGTTGATTTTACACATATTAATTTAAAGTAAGTTAGGATACTAGGGATATAAATAATGATATAGCAACACATCCAGAATTGCATAAAACCCATTCTATGCTTACCAGGCAAAATGCATTTGTGTTATCTATAATCATCCAAAAATGATCTTGTCATAATTTAATGAAACCTTATTTAACAGACACGGATTTTTCCAAAGTAGACCATGCATCACACAGCAAAAATGACTTTTTCTGTCTACAAGATTGGAATTAATAAATCGTTGGCGTTCGCTTTATTGGGAGACTACAGTGAGCATCTAACTAGAATTAACGAGCTGACAATGCACCTCAGTCACCAAGAGGCCCCGCACATGGGCGTCGCCAGGCTTTATCAACGCACCATCTGGGAAGTCGGGGTGGCTCAGCTGTAGGTCTCTGCACGTCCGGGCGGGGTTGGTCTGCGTGCCCATCGGAAACTTCATGTGCTCGATGTCCTGTTTCAAGGAGTTGAGGGAGCCGAAAATTTCCTCCATTCCATCCGAGTAGTCAAGGATATTATCACCGGCATCTGCCTGCATGCCCTCAGTGTGTCTTCTTGTTTTTTTGGGTGACAAGATTGGCAAAGGCTGGATGACTTCCCCAGGGGGACCCTGTAAGAGAGACGGTGTTCACGTGATTGTTCGCTGAGTTAAAAGTCCTGCAGGTCTTAGTTATGGCTGGTGATGTCGTAAGAAATTACAGATGGTTTAGCTTTTCAGCATTTCCCCTATGTTCAATGTCTTTTGTAATTGCTACTCTATATGTTATAAACTTTGTGAATTCTTTCAAAAACACGTAGTGGAGATCTTGAGGCAGGCACACCACTCAGGGGGTTCCTAGACCTTTTGCTGTAGAAGTAACGTAGCACAGGTCTATGCAGACAAACGTTGAATGCCTCCCTTTCTTGTTTATTGATTAGTCCTCCTTATCTTCACAGTTAGATGTTGGTCTCTGGAGATGAGAACACCACTCAAGGGTCTTGTGCTATTTAATGAGTTGTCTGCTGTGCTTGGTAATAATTTATATCATGATACCTAGATTTTCTACAAATACACATTAGCTTGTTTTAAACATTTTTAACTTTAATCTTTGTAAATGAACAAACTTCCAAAAATGCAACCGGCTGGCATTGACATGTATATAAGAGTAGAACTACACTAAATATGTGATCCCTACTGTTAGGGGTTGAATGGTGTCCCACAGACAGGCACGTGCAGAAGTCTGCAGTGCCTGCACCTCAGAACAAGACCTGATCTGGAGATGGGGTTGCTGCAGAAACACTTAGCTAAGTAAATGTGAATGTGTTAGGGTGGGTACCATTCCAGTATGACTGGCATCCTTCTAAAAAGGGGAGATCTGTGCCCAGAGATGCACGTGGACAGAGACAAGGTGGAGAAGACAGCAATCTACAAGCCAAGGACAAGGGTCTCCAACAGGAGACCCTCTCCCCCAGAGCCCTCAGGAGGACCAGCGCCGGGGACACTCTGATGGAGGACTTGTGACCTCCAGCTGTTGCACAGCAAGTCCTGTGCTGAAGCCACCTGATTCGCGGTGGCAGCCCTGGCGCAGTGGTACCCGTGTTGCTTGGGAACAAGCTTGAGGCAGGAAACTGAAGAATCTTCATACATCTGGATCTATCACTTAACGGTTGTGGGAAGCCTGGGAGATGTCAGCATGTGTCAGTGGTGGTTATTATTATTGCCTTTATTATCGTCATTATCTGCGGTAGGAAAAAAATGCCAACCATCTGCATCTTTTCCTTTATGTCGAGAGTCAGATAGATATAATGGTATCTTTGTAGCATACAAGCAGTTGCTTTCATGAAAATCTGACATAAAAGTATATGATTTTCTTAAGAAACTAACAGGAACATGACTATCATAATATAGTATAAAGGTATATAATTAAGGTATCTTTCTATTCACAGTGAAACCAATTAAAAGACATCTTGGCATGTGGACTCTGAGTACTTAATTAACGTAGTTGCTATTTCCTAGAAAATCAGACTTGGACAGAACATGCCTGCTCATCCTTCTTATGGATTCAAAGACCTTGCTGACAGTGTCAGAATCCTAATTCTAGTAAGAATATCACTGTGTCACCAGGCACTTACTGGTGGCCCAGGAGGCCCGGGAAGACCACCGTCACCCTTCTGGCCAGCAGGTCCCTGTGAAAAAGAAGAGGGACAAGATAAACAGAGAACAGGGCACTGGAGCAGGCTGCACCCCGAAATGGAAATGCCAAAGGGGAGGGTACTTACTGTGGAGCCTTTGTTGCCCTTGGGGCCTTGAGGACCCTAGAAAATGCAAAAGCAAATTACAGATACCAAGGTGAAGCGTTTGGGTCTCTTCGGTGTAGGCGTAGGCTGACGTCATGAAACTCTCTTTTCTTGTACTTACCGGTAAACCTGGAGGGCCTGGTGGCCCGATGGGACCGGCAGGACCTGGAATTCCCTGTAGAAAGAATCATGCAAATTAGAGCGTCTTCCTCAGTGACCCCACTCTCCTGTCCGGCAGGAGAGCATGCAGCAAAATGTAGAGAACGCCAAAATAAACAAGAAGAGCTTAAAATTTCCACTGTAAATCTAAGTAGTAACTTTGCAAGATAACCTATTCTTTTTTTCTATTTTGCTTCAATGTCTACACATATATTTATATCTCTGCAGCCTTCAGGAGAATGATTTGTATATGTTGGAGATCAATAAATGTTAGTGCAATTAACTGTTGAACTGTAATTTTTGTCCTTCTGACTTGCCACATTTTTAATTCATTGAGTCTAAGGTGAAATAAATTTCTTTTTGAAAACGCCACTGACTCAAGGAGATTAGAATAAAGACGCTCTACATCACTTCCTCGGTCAAGCTGAAGGGCACGTGTGCAGCTGTGTGTGTGTCACTGGGAAAGACAGGACAATAATTTCTAGCTCTCCTTACCCCGTCGCCCTTGGCGCCTGGAGATCCTTGGGTTCCTGGGAGACCCCTGTCACCCTTCTCCCCTTGTTCCCCCGGAGGCCCGATCAGGCCAATTAAACCAGGGTGCCCCTTGGGAAGGTGGAGAAAAAAAACAGTTAACAGATCAATGACAAGCATAGAGTAAATCAGAGTCCCGCAATAATGGCACATGACATTTACGAAACAGAAGAGTAGAACAGCTACATAAAAACTTGAACATTTCTAAGGATGTAGGATTCAGACCCTCCCTGAGCTCATCCAACAGCATCCTTCACGGCTGGCATTGAGCGAGGCCCATGTTCAGGGTTGGGAGTTATTATGGGACTAACTGCTTTCTAAAAATAGCATCTTCACCGTTTCATTTACAGAGAGGTAGTTCCCTCCACAGAAAGGCTAATAATGACCACGCGGGATATTGGTGAAATAAACAACGGAAATTCACTGTTTTAATAAGCATCTTATTTTATGTGAAATAATTTCTAGTTTTCAGAGAGCCTGTAGTCTTTAAGAGACATTTGGAAACTTAAAAATAATCCAAAAATGTTAATGCCTTTCTGACAAAGATTTATTTTCTTAATCTTCACCTGAGGACACACCTAGAGAGCAGAAGGGAAGGAGTGAGAGAGGCCAACATGCATCAGCGTCAGAGAGAAACATTTATTGTCTGCCTCATGTACATACTCCGAGCAGGGGTCGAACCCACAACCTAGGCATGTCCTCTGGCAGGGCATTGAACCCCTGACCTTTCTGTGTATGGGACAACACTCCAACCAACTGAGCCATGCAGTCAGAGCAGAGGTTTATTTACTTTAATTATTGGGTGCAACTCGGCATACATTTTGAGAGATCAAATTACTATTTGAAAGATAGTCTATTCAAAAATTTTTATTTCCATGTTAAAAAACAACAGAAAAATGGGCATTTTGTTACACCCTATGTTTATGTCCTGATACTTTATTTTCGGCATAACCATAGGCTTCTCCATTTGGTTCCCAGTGGGGACACTGAGAAAATGTAACACTGACTTCCGGTACATTTTTCGCTCTGACTGGGCATATTTTCTCTTCTCTACACTCAACGGAAGAGCTAAGGACTAATAGCTTTCTTCTTGGTCAGGACAATGAAGACATTCTGTTTCAACCCACCCAACTATTGCCTCTGCAGTTAGGAGGTGAAAATGGTACCAGCACGACCTTGAAGCTCACCTTCTCACCCTTGGAGCCGGGGTCGCCTTTGAGGCCAGGTAATCCAGGGGGACCCTGGGAACGAGAAATGGTACATGTACAGAGAAGAGGTGCGGATTAGGGAAGGATGTTACTATGCAGAGGGTGCGTTTGCTGTGGGTAACTTTGCTAACGTTAGAAAGTAATAATGATCAGCCATTGTGTTTCAGAATTCTAAACAACTTTGTATGTTTAAAACGATGGTTTCATAGTTAGCCATAATAATAAAATATAGTAATGATGATTTTGTTTAAACAAATATGAAGTGAGGAATACGGTAAGGATAATTTTTAATTACACTAATTTGGGAAGAGGGGGGTTCCAAACAATATGTATGTTCAATCAAATGTTTTGGTGCTGAATGGAAACTCAAAGGTTGCGATATTTCCAGTAAAATTTAAAAAAGAAAAACTTCAATGCACTTTTAAGAGTCAACTGATCTTTGGTAACGCCTCTCCTAAGTAAACTCCCAAGACAGTATTTTTAGCTGTAATTCTTGAACTGAATCTCTGAATCTAAATGATTTGCAAAATTAATAAGGTAATGTAACTTTCTTCGTATTATAATTATATCTCTATTTTAATAATTTCACCTTTTTAATAGTTCAAGGACACGGCAGTTATCCATCCACGCTAAGTTATATATTTATGAAAACTGTGGCATGACTTTAAGCGACTAACAACTTAGTCCTTACCCCCCATTAAAAATAATGATTTTTAACACGGCACTTGGCCAAGCGTATTAGGTTTCACAGCTGCATCATCACGAGTCTGCACTGCTGGACCTCCTCCCGCAGGACGTCCGCCTCCTCCCAGATACATGGCGTCTTCTGTGTGGAAGAGCACGCCGAGTCCCTGGTCCATCACTTTCGCAAATTTAAAGTATGAAGGCCCATGGACCTAAGCCAAGCAGCATGATGTAACAGGAAAATTACGGGGTCAGGACAGGACAAATGTGAAATAGAAGCCAGCCACGGAAGTAATAAATGATTACTAACTTATTAGTAATAAATGGCTAATTATTAGTAATTTAAATCAGTTAACCAAAGAGAGCTTTAGTTTTCTCGTCTGTAAACCGAGGACAGCAATTTCTATCTTAAGGGGACTGTGGGAGACACTGCAGATGGTCCCCACGTCCACTCTTGCTTCTAAAGTCGACTCCTCAAACTGAATTTCTGAACTTCTGGGGAAAGTAAGAATAGTGTTAGGATAAATTACTACTGTGTAACATTAGTACTAGAGCTACTATTAGGTATACTTAGATTTGTTTCCATTTATGAATGAACTTGAAATTCTGTAAATATTATCATAACAGAGGAAAATTTACCTACATCATCTAGTAACAATAGATTAAAATGATTTTCATAGAAAGATAGTCTGCACCCTTTTAAGTGTGAACACACCTAATAACATTCTTCTAGCAAGAAGAGTACTGTTAACCCTCAGATCTAAATTTATGTCAATCCAATTTAGACTCTTTTGTGTAAAAATAAACAATCGCGCCACCTCGTTAAATCTCTGTCGAAAAAGGACCGCAAAGAAATGACCGAGTTCACTTCCAAATACATGCTGCTTTCAAGCCTGAGTTTTCACACTGGACTTTCATATAAGTCAGCAAACTTCAACCACTGCGCTGCAAGAATTTTTAAAAACATGTAATACCTGACTGATTAGTCAGGGGCACTAACTTCTATTCCTTTAGGTTGTTAAACTTTTTAAAAAATGACAACAGCCAACACAAGAATAGCTGTTCAATGTGAATGAATCAAAATTATACTTCATTTTTGCCAGATTGGCAAAAAAATATATTTTTTGATTTGTTGCAGAATTTCAGTAATTAGTTTATGTGTGCCCTAAATGAGGGGGGTTGAAAATCGCTGACCCAGTTTATCGATACCCTGCCCTGGTGGACGTCAAAGCGTGGCCCTCTGCCAGTGGCATTAGCGTGGCTGCCTGGGAATTTGTCAGAAAAGCCTATTCTTAGCCTCACCCAGGACGACTGGGCCGGAAAGTCTGGGGTTCAAGACCAGCAATCTATTTCAAAGGTTTGAGAAACATGGGTCTGGGACTTATGTCTCAACTCCAGTTACATGAATATGCAAATCACACCAGCCTACAGGAGCTCATTTATGGTCACGTAAACCCATCACATTTCACCACACTACTTTAATCGCTTTAAAATTAAGGGAATGTATTTTGTATTTACTTTTTCTGATCTCATTAGATGGGCCCGGTAAATCGTTCCTTCGGAAGATAATGCTGCCCGATAACACATTTTAAAACAAATAATATGAATGAGTAATGTAAACAGATCATTTTTGGAGGTCTTATCACCATTAGGATAGATGCCCAAGACTTCCTAGGCTAGAACAAGGTGGCATAAAAAGCATGAAAAAGTAGTTCTAATACCGTAATTGCATGAAAGAATCAGACACTTGGACCAGGAGCAGAAAGCATTAAAGAATATCGTTAAAGCTGACATACATCTGTTAAAAGTAAGTTCTATCATTAGATAGAAAATACCAAACTCTTTTTAAATATTTTAATACTTTAAAAATATTTTATTTATTTATTTTTAGAGAGAGGAGAAGGGAAGGAGAAAGGGGAAGGAACATCAATGTGTGGTTGCCTCTCGTGCGTCCTCTACTGGGGACCTGGTCTGCAACCCAGGCCTGTGGGAATTGAACTGGGAATCAAATTGGCGACCCTCTGGTTTGCAGGTCGGCACTCGATCCACTGAGCCACACCAGCCAGGAAGAAAATATGAAACTATTTAAAGAGGCCAGATTTTTTTCTTTCTTCACTTCTCATTTTACATTCCACCTCTTTCATAAATATCATACACTTTATAGAAATGCTGCCATGTGTGGGAAAACTGATAGACACACTGCTCAGGCAACATCAGTATTCGAATGGTGGCTTCCTTGAGTCTCAAGTCCATCACTCATTAGCTGGGTAATCTTGGATCTATTTCTTGTTATCTCTGGGCTTTATTTACAAAAGCATTCTAATAAGAATTACCGCGGCCAAGAATTGTGATAAAGAAAGAAAAAACAGCTCAACAAAAGCATTGCGTAAACCGTGAGGTATAATGTAAACATCAGTTATTATTCATTTCTGATGAGCTACAGACGGTTATCAATCAGCTTTCTCATCACACGCTCGCGGTACGAGGGAAAATGGCAAAAAAGAAGCAGCAGGAATTCTAAATTGCTCAGGCTTAATGAGAAATACACTAGACGTTATTTGTGTTTCCAATGCATTTTAAATCGTTTCTATAAATATTCCTCATGAAGGAGTTACAGGAAATTACTGTTAATTCCAAAGAGCTAATACTCTCTTATGAAATTACAAACTATATCTAAGGAGGAACTTGCCAAGAAGCAGAACCAGTTTCTTATCATGTTCATCAGTTGGAAATAGAAATTGGTAAAGTTATGATATTAACAGTAGTTATAAATAACGTTCTGAAACTGGAACATATCGAAAATATTAACTCGGCATAGAAAAATGTTATTCCAGGTGTAAATATTTTCTATTTCCCCTTTAGATAGTGTAAATTGAGAAACTCTGGGGAAATACATAATTCATAAGTAATAATGTAAAGGGGAAAACAGGGACGATACATTCTTAAGTGTCTAGAATACACAATCAAAACATTTCTCCCTGCAGCAGTAGGGTTTACAGAATATTTGCTTTGATATACATTTCAAAACTCCAGTGCATTGAAGTTCCAAGTAACTGCGGATCCCACACTTTATACAGAACGGATGAAAGGTAAAGGGATTCGCCAAAGAACTTATATGCATACCCCACGGACATCCACAACAGAGTGTCCTGAAGGGAGTAGGGGTGAGAGCTGGGTGGAGGTGGACAAAGGGGGGGTAGAGAGGGACATCTGCAATAATGTCAACCATAAAAACAAAGTTTAAAAAATGCAATATTGTCAGCTAACATTTAATTCAGTGAAAAGCAAAAGGTTTTTGTTGTTTAAACATGCTTAATCACTACAGAATGCTGCACATCTCCACCTGTTTACCGAGAGTTTAAATGTAGCATTTAAAGAAACTGAAACTGCAATTGAGTAACCCACCCTACCATTTATTCAGGCATTTATGGTTTGAAAAATAATGCGTTCCGATCTTTTATTCATCAGTATGTGAAAAGAAGGAATGCATGATAATACTGAAGTAAACTTGTCCAAAGATAAATACTGAGCCATTTTTCAGTTACATGGGAACAAATAAAATGAATGACTATGAAACAAAGCAAAATAAAAGCTTAGACCTAAAGCAGAGATGCTCATCTGCCTCCATAAAATACAATAATTAATTTAAACTTTGTAACATTTAGGTTAGGTGCTATTAATGTTCTCATTTTACGGTTGAGGAACCTAAGCTTAAAAAACAAACGACATTTTCCTAACATCCTTCGGCAAGTCAGTGGTAGTACTTGTTTTTGAAACCGGGAAGCTTGGTCCTCAAGTCACTGAAGGTAACCGGTCACCATGAATCACAGACTGCCTACGAAATGAAATCTCCCTTGGCTGAGTTTGAATGGTCATCAGGTTGCCCTGAAGGACATCCTGGAGATGATTTCCACACTTGCCCTCACCTCCCAGGGACCAAGCCGTGTTTTCAGTGAAATTAGATATCACGGTCAAACTAGCAGATGCCCTGAAAAGGCTACGATGTGTACTTAAATCAAGCAGCCAAAGAAAGGACCTCATTTTGCTTGGCATGAAAGGGTTTGAGTCCTTAAGCCCCTTCCTAGTTCTGTAAACTCACATCCATCTGAGAGTCAGAAATGGAAACTTCCTAGGAGCCAGATCAGGTGCGATGTCTGATGGTTTTATTTTTAATATTAGCCAGAGGAAATCTCCAGCATGATTTTTTTTTAATTTCACCTGGGAAAAAAAGGTCAGAATACTTATTGGAAAATCCGCAATAATGAGAAAAAAGTCTCTGGCAAATTTTAGGGTGACATTAATGTGAAGTACTTCGCTTTTTCAGGATGACTCTGTGCCATTAGGAATTCACCATATTTAAGGAGAATCTTCCCTAAATAGTACAGAAGCAGGCCTGACTCCAAGTTAGCCAGGCCCCTTGTTCCTGGGCCCGTGGGGTGCTGTGCAGACGTCATTATCTCCTGCTTGAAGCCATTCAAGTCTTGCTAACTTTTACCCAGTTACTAGAATAAGTGATCTTTAACTTTTCAGAGAAAGTTAAAAAATAAAAACTGTAACATTTACTAAATACTTGATAGGTTAGAGGAAATGTTTGTGACATTCTTACTAAAGGAATGACCCACATTCCTCCTCAACAGTTAAGATCGTATGACCCAGTTCTGCAAGCTTTCTGAGTATGTCTATGTCTCTGAGATCACAGACACATCGATGAGAGGCAGCGTCTCTGTAAAATTGAAGTGACCGTACGGAAGAACGTGCCTATTCAGATCAATATACCTCACCTGCAGAGTGCCCCCTGTGTGTCTTGTTTGCTGTCTGGATTAATGCCTTTGCCCGTAACTATTTATATGGAAAATGAAGTTCCCACATTTCTACCATACAATAGAATCTGCCATGCAGTAAGCAATCATTTGAAGGCGTGACTTAGATTCTTACTTTCTGCCCAAATTTTATAGCGAGAAGAACCTGGGCCTCCGTAATAAACTCCGTCTGCGAACTCTGACCCGGTAATAAACATCATCTAAGAGCACCAAGCTGGTCACCTATGTGCTCCCTGAGTTTGTCAAGCATGATGTTTGCACATGGCGTGTTGATAATAACCACGCTTTGGTGTTGTGCTGGTTACACCTTTCTTCTCCTGTGGGGGTTAATGATTTATCTTTCAGCCTGCACAACTCACGAAGAGAACAATTTATTGGTGAAGGAATCACCGTGCAACTGTGCCAATGTTATTCTTTTACATGAAGTGCCAGGAAACTCAGAGCCATGGCAAGCGTTTGGGGGAAACTGTGCACATTTGGAAAAGAACTGGTCGGGCCATTAGCGGCCTTTTATTTAGAGTGGAAATAGTTTTTTTCCTCCAAAGGACACAAGGAAGGAAAGATCTTCTGGTCAAGGGACATATTTTCCAAGTCATTTATCAGCTAGAATTACTTTCCTCATTTTTGGTCTGAGTGATACATTTCCTTGACTCCTGTACAAAATATAGACCGATGTATAAGATATGAGTTCAGTTGTTCTAGCTTATAAATAATTTCGTGGCTGGAATCCTCCCTTTCTAAACAAGAGGAAAGGGACCACTCACCAAAGGGCCGGGCGGCCCGTCCTGGCCTGCTGCTCCGGGTAGGCCTTGCTCTCCCTATGGAAAATAAACACGATTCACTTATTAAAATTTAACAAAAGCAGACCTGCTTCTGTCTGATTTTAATTTTGGAAATACGAAAAGAAACAAAGCCAACGCTGTTTATGGAGCCTGCCACATGGAGAACTCCACAAATACTATAAGCAATTTTGAGTCTTCTCACTGGGTGTGTATCTGCAGGCACGCACGTATAGCCTCATGTATACGAGGACCGAGCCCACTAAAGTACTTGGTCTTTGAGCTGTTAGGGTTCCGTGTCCCCTCCTGCCTTCATGAGTTAAAATTTTACCAGGAACTTGTTGAATAAATGGCCTACTTAGATAGCTAAGATTTTCATTTTCACATAACATTCCCTGAATTCCCATACAACAGGCACACTCTAATTTATAAAATAATGCTGTCATAAATACTTTCGTTTGTAATTTTTTTTATAAAACATATTTTTAATAAACAGTGGAGGTTTTTGGAAGCACAGATGCTCACCACGGGCCCAGGGATACCCCGCAAACCCTCTGGACCTGGCTTTCCGGCAGGTCCCTGAGGACCAACGGGGCCAGTTTTCCCAGCAGGACCTTCGGCGCCTGCTTCTCCCTGTTAGAAAACACAACGCGTGCACAGGTTACTCATGAAAAAAGACGTCTTACCGTTTCACTGAAAGCATTCACGGCGACGCTGAGCCGTCTGCGCATGAGCCTTGCGTGCACAACGCCCACGCAATCAGCCTTACCTTGGCGCCTTTTTCACCTTGTCGGCCTTCTGCACCTGCCGCTCCCGGAGGACCCTGTAAACATCAAATATTCAATTTTCCTTCTTGCATTTACATAGCCGTCTGGGAGACAGAAAATCTGACATTTCCGAATCATGTAGCAAAATGATGTAGGAAAAGAATCATTGATATTACAAAACATTCCAAGTAACACAGAAGAATTTTGAGTTTGAAAGAAGATATCATAATTCCCATCATATTTAAGTTTTGTTAAGATAATTACACCGTGTCCTTGGCTATTTTCTCTTATGGCATTTCCATAAAACCTTTCAGTTCAACACAAGCAGGACACTGGCTTTGATAACCCACAAGAAAAGCTATCCATACATATTCATAATAAGCTTATCCTAAGACCTGTAAAATTTACAGTTTTGTTATATTTAGTTCACTTCCACTAGTTAATTGAACTTTTATATCACTGAACAAGCATTAAATTCAACTTGATGCTGATTTTCTGCACCAGTTCAGACACAAGAACAGAAAGTTTAAAAAAAGAGACTTCATGATCTTGAGAAAATTGCATTCTTTTTTTCCCCCAGATTCTCTCATTTTCCATCTGTTTACTTCAATTTTTGCAATGAATGGTGTTCAAAATTGTGGACGGCGACTGAGGTTGGAGGTTGGGGGAAACAGTGGAGATGGCCTTGATGGGGGAGAATCCAGTGGGGCCGCAGGACGACTTTCTCTCTCTCAGATGTGATATATTAATATTCTACCGGTGCTTATAGGCTAGTCTTTCATCTGGTCTTTTAAATCCACATTTCAAATGAGGATCAAGCACTTCATCAAATTCAGAGAGGCCCATGAACTCATTCATCTCTGAGAGTCAATGAACACCCAGGGAGGGGCAGAAGCTTTTTCTGGTATTATTATTCTTTATGAATTATTGTATTATTTTCCATAGGAACAACCATAAACCTCCCAGGCTGTACATCATTAGCAATCCTTTCCTCAATATTGAGCTCTGTAATTTTATATATCATTAGACATTCATTGTGTCTCAACCCAGAGATTGAAAAAGGGTATAATTTCTGTAAGGAGTCTCTCAAGGCAGCAGCAATAGCTAAACAATAATACAGGCATTAAAACTTAAGCGCATCTTTTAAATTTCATGCCATCTAGGAGAGAGGAATTCTCTATAGAATATGAGCTTCAAATATTTCCTGGTGTTAAAATGCTGATCAATAAATGATTTTGGTGTGATATTTAAAAAGTGAACCTATGCAAAGTGGGTAAAACAACCACAATGGAGCTAGTACTATGGGAACAGAATTCATGAGATTCCACTAAATAAGGGGCTTGTCCTTATTTCATGAAGATTTTCCCTTAAACCAGCGACATCAGGCCCAAGGGCTTAACCTCGGACAGCTGCACGTATATACCTGAACTTTATAGCACCGACGTTTGATAGAGATCTGACTTTTTAAAAAAGCAAGTTATCAGCTGTCTAAAAAATGCACCAAAAATATTGCTTCGACTGCAAGGGAGAAGAGAAAACTGGAGTTTGAAGAGCCTTGAGGGTTTAAACACAAGGCCACTGCAATACAGACACAAGACTGGGGTTCAGATGCAGGTTTTCTCTGCCCCGGAAGGACTCCTTCTCTCTGATGCCTGTAGAAATTGATGCTAAGTGGCTATTCCCTCTTATCTTAGTTTATTCCATTTCCATTTATTCCTTCTAGTTTTCCAGATGGTGCACACTCTTTAAAAAAAACTAAAATGCAAATAGATAACACTCTTTTTGTAGAAGAATAAGTTTCCTTTTGGGGGGATAAAAACTGATAATGCCGATGGGCAAATGTTTGGTCATTTACTTTTCATATATCTGTACAAACAGAGGGACAAGGACTTAATCTAGTGAGCGGCTGGCAGTACTTTCTTGAAGTGAAGAGTGTTCTGATCAAAAAATCCCTCCTAAAACATAAGCCTCAGTTAATTCTCTGTAGCAGTCACTTGTTATGTGGCATTTTCCTCACCACGAGAAATCTATTTTAAATAAAATACACAGCCTAATCCTCTCCCTACTATTCACACTTTACAATATTGTTTTACAGTGTATCCATTCTCCCATTCATGGAACAAATATTTATGACTTCCTTATGTATCAGAAATACGCTGTGCATGGGGAATACAAAACAATAAAATACAAGTGAAACCTGAAGACATAGGAGGCAAACGCAAGGCCCGCAGGCAGAATCTGGCCCTCCACCTTGTTTTATGCAGCCTGGCTCCTTGTTCCTACCCAGTGGCAGTGCCCAGCTCTCGCTTAACTGTGAAGGAGTAGTTGCGTGTGTACAGTCCTGCAATTACATCCAGCAACCGCAACGCTGATGTGGCCCCCGGTGAAAATGAGTTTGACACCCTTGCCCCAGGGAGTCCACAAGTTTAGGTTTGAAGACAGACACCGAAATGAACAAGTCCAGTACATTGTAAAATATCCACAGAGGAAGTAGGTTGTTCAAAATTGGGACCTTGATCTAGTCTGGTAGCAGGGAAGGATTTTCCTAAAAACCCAGCTTCTGATCTGAATCTCGGTGGCAGCAGCATTACCCTAACTTTTGCCTCTGACCATTCCATTCACGCATAAATGTATGCGTACGCACGTACATGGTACCTGGTATACACGGCTCTATAAAGTATGTATCTACACCTGCTAATTAATAGTAGCAGTTATCGTTTTAATTTTTTATTGTGAACTTTCCTTTGGTGATATGAGCTGGCCTCTTTAAAACTGAATGTAAGAGGTACATTTTAAGGTCACAGCGTTTAAATTATTTTAGTCAGCCCTAGAATTTTTTGCCCAATAAAATCCATGGAACTAACTTGGCTTCCAAATAGCTGGGATGATAACTGGAGTATTAACATTTCACGACTGGGGGACACTCACTGCACAATTGTCTAGGAAGGAAATACACATTTATTCTCCGGTGTTACAAATTCGTGGCAGGTGCTCCTGTGCTTCCACCGACAACTTAATTTCCCTGCTTGTTCGATAACTGTTGGACTGTTGTTCCTTAGTATCGCTGCCGCGGACAACGTTCTGATCAATATTCTATTAGGCAGGTTTATTTGTAAGACTCACTCACGGACAAGCGTGATGATCCTTGGGAACCTATTTCTAGGCATTGCCACTTTGGCAAGGAGGTGCGACAGCGGAATTGCTGTCGATTTACCTTTCTGGGTCTCCAACGTGGGGCACCTAAGGATAGGAGAAATATTGACTTGCACAGAATAAGTGCGAAGCTTACCAAAGGTCTCATTAGTGGATTAAAGGAGAACAGACAGAAAGGCAATTCTGCTTCCAAATGCTAAGTGCGCAGATCAGGTAGCGTAGTTATAGCACAGGAATATGTTCTCGTTGTTTCCACAGAGGTGATGATATTCAACTGAATCCTGCATCAAAGATGTTGCTGCCTCCGGGCTAAACATGAGGCTCGATGGACACAGAATTCTGCCCTGGGGGTCAGTGCATCCCATCCCCCCTGCGCTGTGTCCCCGTAGGCGAAGGTGCCTCGTGTCCACCTGGCATGCAGACTGACCTCACGTGTGCACAGGTCATGTAAGGCCCGTGTCCTTCCTTCTCAGTTAACTCATTCAATCACAGCATGACTTGTCACACTAGTCCTGGCTTCCTGGTGCTTGACAAGCCCGCTGCCTTCCGAAAGGTCTGAAGTAATAGAACAGATATTTCTCCACCCCAAAGGTTTTAGGGCGTTCGCGCCCCTGGCCAAGAGAGACAACACTTTGCAAAAATCCTGGCATACTTTGCAATTCCTTTCGAAGACAAACAACCCAACGGTTGTTTTGGAATACACTCTTTTTTCCTATTGAGACCATGATTTGGCATTGCTGACAAAACATAAAGGAAAATAAAATAAAATGGTAAGAATGATAGGAGGAGGAGGCAAAGGAGGAGGAGGAAGGTAAAAGGGGTACTTGATCAATGAAGGGGAAATTGTATTCAGAGAAGCTATTTCCTATAAACTATACCCATTTCTGTCAAAGAGAAATGTTCATAAATATTGACTCCAATTTATATTGCTGAGTCCAAATTAAAACCTGCTATGCCCTCTGTCTATTAAGATGTGTAATATGAAAATGCCCCTAAAGTGGGCATTTTGAAGCTACCATTAAAGTGGCCTGGTTGCTGTGTCCCTTTGGATTACTGAAGAAAGCTAGTTTGGTGGTTGGCACATGTTGTGTGGACAGGCAGGTGGGAAACTGACTAGAGCAGGTATAGCGGGGCATACCACATGGGCGTGTAAGGGTTGCAAGAGGTAGTTCAACAGAAGCTGACTTATTCCGAGACAGTGCAATAGTGAGAAAAAGATGGTGAGGTCAATCTCCTAGCGTCTACTGTAGCCAATAGTTTGGACAAGGTCTATGTACTTCTATTTACTACTGTCTTTTGTTGAAATCCTGCAATGGCTTCCAAAACAGAGACGTTTCCCAGTGTAAATCGAATGTTCTATGCTGATTGCTCCTGAGCTCATTCCATGGATTCTGCATTTGGGTTTTTACAGTGTTTTTAGGCAACGCTGGATTTGTGACATTCCATCTGTCTGTAATACATCAGGAGCTGAAGTTCAGGGTCCCCTCTGAGTCTCCAAGAGCCTACAGCATCTGTGCAGAGGGGAGACCTAAGCACAGGGATGAGGAAACCGCTTCTCACTGGGACAGATTAAAACTGTCCGTTGAAGTGCTGTGTATTTTAATAAGTATATTGACACATTTAAGAAACCTCCCTATTCTCAGGGACTTATTTTTTTAGCTTCATTATAAAGGGCTGCCTACTACTTACCTGTGTTATATGAATTCACACACATAGTACATAGGGAGTGGATATTTCAAATAAAGAATTTTGAGAACTTACCCTTTTTCCAGGAGGACCTGGTGGGCCGGCCTCACCAGATGGGCCAGGCGGACCCTGTAACATGGAGGAAGCACCATGAATCCACTGAGCGTTGTTTTGGGGCCCGCACAGCATTTTTCGAAGTCGGGGCTGGAACTTCGTTCTTCATTCCCCCACACCTGTCTCTCCTGGGAAATCTCAGCCTGGTTTCAGTTACCTGACCTTCCTGTAGGGATCTATTTAGAGCTGGTAAATTCGTATTAACACTTCTTCCTAGCTGGACGAAGGTGAATTTTTTAAAAATCTATGTTCTTTTGAAAGTGCTAATTTATATCTGACAAGCGTCCAATAGACATACTGATTGTAGAATCAGACAGTTAATAATTCTACTCCTGGCACACACATTTGTGAAACCATAAAACAATTACCTTGCAGTTCCTTCCTGCACCACACTAGCATTTGTATGTCGAGGAGAACAAGCAGGGTGGGACCTGACCCGCAGTCTTCTCTGCACAGAATAAGCCTATGTCTCTGATGGCAGATACCCATGGGGACCACTCTAGACAAAAAACTATGTCAGAGGCGCTCTCTGTCTTTGGCTCCTGCTCTAGTTGGTGCCCTCCCTGAATGGCCATATGTGGCCAGGAGCCCAGGACTCTGTTGTCCCCAAATAAAAAAAATATGCTGAGTTCCATTAGGTTAGTAACTGAAGTAATCTGTGTCCATGATAGGCTGCTAATCTGGCTGTCTTCCTTTCAGTCTTATTTGTGATGTTAGAATAATTTTTTATTAACACAGACAGCTGAATTTGATACAGTCTGACAAAAGCATCAGTATGATGTGACTACTTTTTTTTTAGTTATGAAAGCTTTGCTTATATTTCTGAAATTGCCTCAAGTTAGAAACATTCCACGTAAGTTTGACTTTTGGTTGGCATTCATATATAGCTGATGGTTGTCTCGGGAAAATGGTTGCATGGGTAGCTATGCTTCTGAAAGGTTGATTATTTCTGATTTTTTTAAATGTCTGAGATGAGGCAAAGATGAAATCGAAGTAGTGTGTGCTGCCTACCGGCTGACCAGGGTCTCCATCTTCACCCTTGTCACCGCTAACGCCATCTTGACCCTGTAATAGGAACAGAAAATGAACTTGATGCTTCTCACTATTAATTCACTCTTATCAGAGAAAAGAATACAATATACTATCGTAGTCCTTGAGATAAATTATTGCCGGGTGGACAATGAAAGTAGTGTAGTCTTTCTGTTTTTCTTTGAAGGACTGTGGTAGCTCTCACTTTTCCCATACACATTTGTGAAATTTCTACAACCTCAAATTTAAAGTAAAGTATGTTCTTAATACAAGAAACAAAAACAAATGTAATTAGTGTTCACATCAAGTGCATCCTCACACCACGAACAAACATGGTGCAGTTTGAGATGGGATTTGCACTGTACGAGAAAGTCAGATAAAAGCAAAAGTTCTATACCTTCAAACTAGTAGTGATACTGCTATTGAGATATTTGTACAATATAATGAGTCTCAAAAACTAACCCCAATGAAGAGGATAATCACACACCCCAGGAATAACAGCCTCCAGCTACATGGATTTCATTGTAGTGATTGCAGTTCACATTTTCTTTTCCCTCCTATTTTTGGAGCTTCTCTTAAATGATTCAAGCTGTCTTTAGTTATTAACAATAGAGACACGGGTGTACCCCCCAAATCCCTTTATTTTTCTCTGGTACTTACCGAAGGGCCAGGTTCCCCTGGAGGCCCGGGGTCTCCAGGAAAACCAACAGGACCCTAGAATAAGGGTTTTAAAAGAAAGGGAATAAATGAAAAATCATTTTAATAAAGTCATGATATTCTGAGTTTCAGAGGTAAAAGTCATGATGAAACCATATGAGACTATTTCCCTCCTTCTGTTGGGAATTCAAAAATGAAGTCAGAGAGACTTCTGGCCAAGATGGAGGCATAAGTAGATATACTTTGCCTGCTTGTACAATCAAAAAAGAACAACAAATTTAAAAACAAAAACAACCAGAACTGCCAGAAAATTGAACTGTATGGAAATCCGACAAGCAAGAAGTTCAAGAAGAAACATTCATCCAGACCGGTAGCAGGGCAAGAGATGGGCAGCCAGGGTGGGGAGGACTCACGGCAAGGTGGTGGCTGGTGGACTGGCAGTCCCATATTTGAGTGCAGATCAACCAGGAGGAATAACTGAGGAGTGAGAGAGACCCTGCAACCCAGGGTTCCAGCACAGGAAAATAAAGCCTTGAACCTCTAACTGAAAATACCCGTGAGGTTTGCAGCAGCAAGAGAAACTTCCAGCCTCACAGGAGAGTTTGTGGAGAGACCGACAGTGTCCTAGAATGTACACAAACCCACCCACCTGGGAATCAGTACCAGAAAGGCCCAATTTGCTTGTGGGTAGCAGAAGAAATGACTTAAAGTCCATTGAGAGCTGAGCAACCTTCTGGACAACTTTAAATGTTCCAGCATCTGAATCATAAGGGCGCCAGAAGGAGAAGAGGAAGAACAAGAAATTGAAAACTTATTTGAAAACATAATCAAGGAGAACTTCTCCAATCTGACAAAGAAAATAGACTTCCAATAAGTCCAGGAAGCTCAGAGAGTCCCCAAAGAAGTTAAACACAAGGAAGCACACACCAAGGCACATCATAATTAATTACCCAAGATTAAAGATAAGGAGAGAATCTTGAAAACAGCAAGAGAAAAGGAGACAGTTACCTACAAAGGAGTGCCCATAAGACTGTCAGCTGATTTCTCAAATGAAACCTTGCAGGCAAGAAGGGGCTGGAAAGAAGTATTCCAAGTCATGAAAGCCAAGGACCTACATCCAAGATGACTCTATCCAGCAAAGCTATCATTTAGAATGGAAGGGCAGGTAAAGTGCTTCCCAGATGAAACCAAAGGAGTTCATCATCATCAAGCTCTTATTATATGAAATGTGAAAGGGATTTATCTAAGAAAAAGAAGATAAGAAATACAAACAGTAAAATGACAACAAATTCACAACTATCAACAACCAAACCTAAAAAGACCAAAACAAAAACAAAAACAAACTAAGTGAACAACTACATCAAGAACAGATTCACAGAAATGGAGATCTCCTGGAGGGTCATCTGGGGAAAAAGAGGGAGGAAGATGGGGGAAAGGTACAGGAAATAATAAGCATAAGTGGTACGTACAAAATAGACAGGGGTAGGTTAAGAATAATATGGGAAATGGAGAAACCAAAGAACTTACATGTATGACCCATGGACATGAACTAAGGTGGGGGAAAGCTGGTGGGAGTAGGATGCAGGGTGTAGGGGAATAAAGGGGAGGAAAAAATGGGACGACTATAATAGCATAATCAATAAAATATATTTAAAAAATAAGTTAATATACTTATAGGAAAAAATGCAGTCACTGGAGAAATGTTTCTGACTATAGGAAATGGTGAAAAGTCCATTTCCCCAGCTGTGGGCCAGAGTCTCATGATTTCTCATTTTTCTCCAAAGACCCCAAAATGGCTTTGACTTGCATGCCACTTCTAAGGGACAAAGCTCACTTACCGGGTTGCCCTTAGGGCCGTCATCACCTGGTGGTCCCTTGGCACCGGGGGGTCCAGCAGCGCCAGGGGGCCCAGCTTCACCCTTCTCTCCTCTTTCTCCTTTGGGTCCCTACATGGCCAGAGATCAAGAATGATTAACGTACATGCCATAAATCCGAATTCCTTTTTCTTTTTCCAATTTTCAGGTATTTTTAGTTGTAAGCCACACATTGTTCATGACAGGCATGGAATTTTGGTTATTCAAGGAAATCGAAGATCATCCAGCCTCATCACTGATAGATGGAAAGAATGTGGACTTTGAGTTACACAGATTTGCATTTAAATCCTAGCTTTCACTTTCTTGCTGGGTTTCCTAGACAAGGTATTCAGTTTCCTATGCTTTCTAGAGGAAACTGGATCACCTTGTATTATCAGATGAGAAAGAATACAAAGAGGGAAATGTACTCATGACAACCCAAGAAGTGGTAGTAACACAGGTTTTAGCTTTTATAGGAAGTTAGAGCTAAAAAGGATCATCTAGTCTAGTCTCTCAAGAAATCATGATTTATCCAAGGTTCTAGCTTTCCTCTTGCTTGAGAACAGCCAATACAGTCTTTGTATATTTATGTAAATCAGAGTCTCTTAACCTTGGCATATTGATTCAGACCACGCTTTTTGGCAGGGGGCTGTCCTATGAATGGCAAGCTGTATACCAGCAACCCCCGGTCTCTACTAATTAGTTGGCAGAACCTGTCTTGCCTTCAGGTGCAACAGCCAAAAATGTCCCCAGACATTTTCAAATGTTTCCTCTCCAGGGTCAAGTTCACTTCCAGTTTCAAACAATCTGAATTAGAGCAACACAATCCTAATACATAACAATTTTTGACGTGGCAGCGTTGGTTTGTTTATTTATTTTGTGGACAATCCACCAGCTTCAGTTTGCGTGCTCTAATTTATGCTGATGGGATGTTTGCAATTTCTACATTAATGAAAATATGCAGAGGATATGAACATTCTTGAACAAAATAATGCTCTTCGTTTGTCACTATTCTTAATGGGAAGGAAAGGCAAATAGTGAATTATGTGTCAAACGCTCTAAAGGAAATTCCTGAACACCCACGTAGATGATGAGATCGTGCTTACCCCTGGGCCGGCTTCCCCAGCAGGCCCTGGGTTTCCTGCCTCCCCAGGTTCACCCTACAAGAAAGAGATCAAAGGGGCATCAGTCAGGACATAGAAATGGTGGTTTACATTTGCCAGACCGCCTTTATCGATGACCATGACATTTTAGAGTAGCCCTTAAAGCACTGCATTCTTCAAAAGGCAGCGGAAAAGCCTTAGGGAGACGACGGAACTTTCCCTATTATTGACTTTTATTTCTCAGGTGAGGAGATAGATCAGCTGATGCTACAACGCCAATCAGTTCGCTGCCAGCCAGAGCGCCCACCCGGGTCACCACCCAACCGCACATGACAGACAGTGGCTGGCGCCTAACACACTGTGTGTATGTTTGTGCTGCATTAGTATCCATGGTGCTACAGTTAGGTTTATGGATTAAACAATTTCGGTTATTTTTATTCCAGCACATGAATTCAATTTATTTGCACTTTAGCAATTAAGCAAATAATTTGGTAGCCTTTTGATACTCTTGTAAGATATATTTAGGAGAGAACTAAAGAACATAGAAAAGGAGTACATTTATATGATACTTAAAAGGTCCATAGGTAGAAATTAAAACTGCTCCTTTTGAGGATATACACGTTATACATTTGGATGGCTATTTTCTATCTTAGCAGACCTATAAGTACACCTCCTAGACAAGTGGGTTTTAGTTATGAAAGACTGAAACTAACTCTTTGCACTTAGAAATGCAGGCAAATATTCTATCCGAGTAATCATCCGTATGAAGTAACACATTAGTACACACACGGACCCCGTTTCCACACCAAACCAGTGCAACTGGAAATTTTTCTGTTTTTTAAAAATGTGAGGCCTGAATGTTCTTCAACTTTTAACTCTACTCTCCCAAATATTTCCATTGCATACCAATTGGTTTGAATTATATTACGTTAAATACAAACATGATGCTAACTTAGGTACATAATTCCTTACTCTATGAAAATATGAACATATATCGACATCATGAATGAACTGTGTAAGGGTGAAAAATATCAAACCCTTTCTAGGAATTTATTAGTACTATTGTGTAAAAATCACTTTCTTCTCTAGATGAGTAGCAGATTTTTCCATTTTTGGATAAATCTTACAAATAATATTTATTTTAGTAATGTTGCATTTACATTATTTATGATATGAGTATGATACATGTGATGTTTTTATATCACTCTCCATCTTTAAAATAAATCTTAGTTTTCAAAGCACCTGTAAAATGCACCTGTAAAATGCACATATCAAATGCTGTATATATGGAACATGTACAGTATAGGGCATGATCTCATCAGGTGTGAAATTTAAAGGAGCCAAACTCATACAAGCTGAGCAAAGTGGTGGTCACAGGGGGCTGGGGGTTGGGGGACATAGGGAGATGTAAGTCAAAGGGTACGAAATGTTCAGATACCCAAGATGAGTAAGCTCCTAAGATCTAATATGCACTATATATAAACTCTGTTTAACATTACCATACTGCAGGCTTGGAATTTGCCAAGAGAGCAAAGTATTCTTACCACACACACACAAAGATAGCCAGGTAAGGTGATGAATAAGTTAATTGGCCTGAGTATGGGCATTATTTCACAAAGCATACAAGGATTAGAATACCAAGTTGAGCGACTTCAATATATTATCAGTTTTATCGGTCAATTATAGCTCAGAAACTCTACTGACCAGGCCCTAAATGTTTTCTTTGGCACCACATGGTAAAATCTCAGAAGTGGGAACAGGCGGGGAAATAACTATTTTTTTATTCGCCCTCTGTGTACCTTGTTGTTCTGTTTTAATCTTGGACCACTCTGAAGTTAAACTAAAGTAGATTCTTAAAGATTATTTCCATATTTTCAAAGGAGGGAAATGATAGGTAGTAAAGAGAAGGGCTTAAAAAATTGCCAAAATTCAAAGACGAGTTTGTGGTACAAAATCTCTCCATTTCGGGAACAACATATCAGTGTTCGTTTGTCCAAAGTCCATGTGAAAATTACCTTTTGTATATTAGAGCCAAGTATACAAGTATAAATGGCAATCACTTAAGAAGCAATTAATGCTATATAAATAATAATTGATATGCAATTATTCCATATGGTTACATTATAACAATTAAAGTATTATTACTGATCATGCAACTGTTTTATACTGTTCTGTAACACCCCGGTGCAGGGTAAGGCTCCTTCCAGGAGGGACAGCAGATTATTCCATACGCCAAAAGTCATAAAATATGCATGAAACCTCAAGGCACCATTCTGATACATATCTCTGTTTTGAGGACACTGTTGAAGGACAGAACCCATCTGCAGGAAATCTCTATTATAAGGAAAACAGGTTACACACATTTAAGCAAAATCCAGCATGACTAAAGGATGTGTTTTTCTTTCCTTTTTTTCCTATCGAATTAGTGACTGGAAATAAATTTTAACATGGAAATGGGGAGGTGTTCAGCCAGAATCAAAGCTGATATCAGCGACCCATAATCTATAGCCAATTGTATTACCCAGACGCTGAAGAAAAAAACTGAAGTCTCATTTCTAGCTTCCTGTCACATAGGAAAAAAATGTTTGGAATAGAGAAAAATGAAAACTTTATTTTATGGTAACACATTTAGAGTCAGCTAACATTTTAATTGTAAGAAGTGTTATTATCAACACCATGTGAGTCTTTCTCTAGAGACTCGAAGCTGGCGAGGTTACCAGCAGGTTTTAAGCAAACGGAAACAGCGTGGGATGGGAGTTTCCAAAACTCCGAGCATCTGGCTTCCATGTTTATCTGAGAGTTACACAGAAGAAAAACCATAAAGGATGCAAGTGAACTGCTTACAACTGCTCCCACTGTGCCCCAAAGCTTTAGGCAACAAGCAGAGCAGCTGAAAATGCTGTGCCATGGTTTTAGAATTTGCTGCGCGGGCAAAACTGAAAGCGGAGACCGGAGTTCACCACTCTGTCCTCAGCATCAGAGCCAAAGGGGGACACTGCAAAGGGCCGAAGGAGGAGAGTCGTGCCCGGGTCTGTCTGACACAGCGACACCATCGGGGACTGTGTTCTTTGTGGCCACTGTTCCTATGACCCGTGAACTCGTGAAACGTGATTTTTCATTTCCACCCCCAGCTCACCTGCAGCTTTTCAACATGAAACTTCAAATTTAAAAGTATAAACAAAGAGACCGTCAATCAAAAGACCAGACTCTTTATGCAATAAGAATCGGATAATAACTTTAAAATGCTTCAAATGGAGTAATTAAGAAACTATTTGAATAATCATACAGAGTTAATTGCATTCGAAATATTAGTAGGTGGGTGGGTGTTGAGCAGAAATAAACATCTAAATACTATACTTTAATCTTATTACATTGCTTTTCTGAGGGATAAAATGTTAATTAAAACAAGTGAATTTAAAGACAAGCTATGATATGGCCAAAATTTTTGAGACTAATCAACAGAACTTTTACAATTAGGATGTCTATACTTCTGATATAATTCAATAAATAACTAGAAAACTCAAGAAATTTCTTTTGTTTCCACTGTATAATTTTTCATGGTATAAAATTTAATTTTTGACCCTCAAAACCAGCAAATAGTCTATTTTTAAATAAAGTAAAACTTGCCAACTTTTTGAAAATTCTACTAAGAAATGAGCATGAATATGTAAACAACGAATGAGAGAATCATTTTGACATTTTCATAAAAAGGAAGCAGAGATATTTTAAATGTAATCACGCTCATGAGAACAGGAGGCTGTTTGGAGCCCAGATGTTTCTGCACACGCCAATTTCTCTGAGAAGTGCCAGAGACAGGTCACAGCACTGGCGATGAAAATAGAACTCAAATATGGCAAAGCGAATGATTAATTCCTTTGTAGTTGGAAGGATTCTTTTTTCCCTTTTAAGTCACTTACATCAACGGATCTCTCCTATTTTCATAATGAGTATTGTTAAGAGACACAGTCTACTCGGACACAAATGGGGTGCAGTAGATGAAGCTCGGCTTAGTCACTTTTTAAAGACAAAACTCAAATTTGAGTACTGAAATTCCCCAAGCTTCAGCTACCTGAGCTTCAACCCATGGATAATAATGATATTATCCTGATAGGGTGCTTGTGTTGATTAAAGAAAATAATCCATGAACATTGCCCTGCACGGTGTCTGATCATCCAGAACATGGTATCTCAAAATCATTTCACCTTTAAATATTCAGCTCCCTGCCGGGATGAGTGGTGATTCACAAGGCCATGTGTGACAGTTAGAAAGCCAGAGCTCCTGGAAGCCCCTAGAATGTTAGCCACTACCCTTGCTGTTTCAAACTGTGAATCATCCTATTCCTTACCTTATCTCCTACTCCGCCAACTGAACCAATGGATCCTGGAGGCCCTTGTGGTCCCTACAGTATGGGAAAAGAAATACGGCTATTCTTACTCATGAAAGGCTGTAAGAAATTCATAGATATATGTCTAGTTGTTCTTAAAAAGAGAGAAATATATGCGAGCCTATCCCAAGTCATGGGAAAGATAGGGCAAAATCATGCCCTTTAATGAGCTGTCAAATTTACTAGAGAGCAGTCATATCACACAATACAATATAATACAATACAATATAATATGATATTAGACTGATTTTCTGATGCACCAGAATTTTGAAGATGAGGCATGAGACTTTCCAATTCCAGTCATGCCAGTTGACACTCGTAACATAAATTCAATCTTTCCACCACCAGACATTTCATATTTAGAGGATGATTTTGTAAATATTTTTTAGTGGATCAAAACACGAATGTGGTTAGGAATGATGAAAGCCAGGCAAAAAACAATATAAACCATCTTTCCATCTTAAAATGAATAAGGGCAATGAAATCCTAAAAGCTTTTTTAGCACGCCTGCTCTTGGTACATTCTGGTCTGCCAGAATTAAAAGCAGACATAACGGAAGAGCAATAAAGACCAGAATAAATGTCTCAGCCTTTGTGAAAAGGTAAGGTCAGAAGAAGAGATTACATCAACACCTATAAATTTGTGAACGGTAACAACCAGATAAATACGACTTTACATTTCAAAATCCTACAGCGATGGAACAGTGAGTCAATTATTAAGCTCGGGAGACTGTTTATACAATTGAGAGGAAATATTTTATCTGGTTACAGGTGCGTGATATATTGGCAAGCACATGTTACTCTAACCTATTCTACAGAGTGAAAATATACAGTGCAAAGCTTTTAAATAAAAGTCACTGGTGACAGATGTTGACATAAAGGATGTTTGGCATATAGACCTGGGTTAGTATAATCGAAGCCAATTACAAACCATCTCCTCAAGCTATTGTAAGTGATAAAGGTTAAATTTGAAACAATTTGGTACCACTCAACAGGTATCCTATGCAAGGCGCTGTCTTTATACGTGGACCTGAACAAATGTGGTTATTATAATAAAGCCAATATTTCCCACTCACCAAAAAACATGCATGGAATGTGAACTTGGTAGCTACTGCATATTTGTGGTGATTAGTGCCCTACAAAGCCTGTTTCTTTTCCTGCAAAATGACACGGAGTAAGTAGAGGGTCCTTGAGCTCTGCGCCTTGAAACATCTGATCATAGGGTCATTATCTCCCTTGTACTTCAGACACCATCTGCCATTAAACAGCACCAACCCCCCATTGCTTCAGCAACATGAACACATTTCACAGTCCTTACGTCAGCTCCGCTGGGGCCCTGGGGACCTCTCGGGCCTGGAGGACCAGGTGGACCCTGTGGGAGACAAACAGGAAGCTTCGTGAGGACCATGCTCAAGTGCCTTGCCGCTCATTTCATTTTGGGATCGAGAGCACTAAAAGGAGTTCCAGCCTGTGAATCGCAGACAGGACACAGGACAGGGCCCTAAGACGTCCCTGATGGACAGCACACCCCATTTGTAAAAGGTGTTTTACACAAAGCTACATGGAAGTTAAAACTACAGCAAAAATTTTTCATTAAGCATTTAAAAAGTCCATTGCTACTATCTGGTCTAATGAATCTGTAATGCAGCTAGAAATATTTATGCTAGGCTGTGCTAGAATGCTAGTGTATAAAAGGAACATAACGTTGAAACAGGAATTGGAGCTTCAGTGGATTTAGAACTCTAAATTCCATAGAGGATTTTTAAATTTGTATACACTTTTGGTCAGCTTTTCGTGTTTCGTATGTTAGAATGGAGGTAAGCTTATCCTGAGGTCTTCCCAAAGCAATGGCCTCTCTTGTCTTTGGGCATTAAAATGACCTTGGACATTATTTATAAAATCCTGACTGCCGGAACCTGGTACTTCACGTTTACGATCAGTCTGTAGCGAACACCAGGGCATTCGTATTTTTTTAAAGGTCAGAGTTTATTTCAATGCCAAGGTTGGACAGCGTGTATACTACTCGCTGTTACCATATGTTAGGGAGGCTGCGTTCATACTCAGGAACCCATGGCAGCTGCGCCTCGGAAGACGCCTGCCCTGTGTCTGGTGCTGCCTGGAGTGTTAATCCATTATTTGAATCTGCAAGGTGTATGTGCTTTCAAGTTTACTGCGATGATAAAAATCACTTCTCACTTGAAGAAAATAAAATCGAACATTCAAGTGTAAAATGATCGAACACGGATTTCGAGGAAGTTAAAACTGGGCCAATGTTTATTGAGAAAAAGGAGCAACTAGGATGTATTCTTTATGTTTCATTATTAATTTCAATGACCATACCTAATTGTTTCCTTAGCCAATACAGTGCTTAATAAACAAATCTATGTATTCCACATTTTCAGGTGAACTATTAGAGCAGAAAGCCAGAATCAATCGATGGAAATCATGTCACAGTGTTCTAATTAAGATTGAATTTCGTATTTAACTAATTTAGAATTACAATTAATATTTAATACTGTATTAATATTTGTTAATTATTTCAGTCCTGGGTGACTACTGTATTCCTTCCTTGTTCCACAGGAGAGTCCAGAGCTAAATGCTAATAAATAACTGAAGTGTGACAGTTTATATACACGTCAGTAATCTAGAGACACAGAAGTAGAGAATGTGCAATGATATATCAACCAGTGAATGCGTATGTGTGCTGACATCACTCAAAAGAGAGAAAGAGGACAAAACAGTGAAGGGGGACCCAGCAGCCACAGAGGCGGGCTGGGAGGTGGCAATTTGAAAAGTCACAGCCTTCCAGGCCTCTTTGTTCACATTCATCAATCTGAAGAAAGACATTAATTACATGAAAAGTCATCATATCTATCAAATACTTAAAAACGAAAACTCACCATGGGGCCGACATCCCCATTTTCACCCTTTTCACCAGGCGGGCCCGGCAGACCCTGAGAAAAAACAATAGAAGTCACTCATTTATTTGAAAAGAAATACCTTGGCAATTTCTAACATAAAACCAAAATTAAATATAAAGCTAAGTAAGACATTTTAAAAAATTAACATAAAAATGACGATTCAGAAACTATCATGCCAAAATATGTATAATGCAGGTAATGGCTACAGATGATAAAATCTTACATCCTACATTTACAAATAAAATTCATGCTTTTTATAATATGATGCTGTTTGATTTTAGTTACAAGAACTCACAGACCAGATGGCACTCAAATTTCATCTGGTTATGTGTTTAGGGGAAAATTATTTCATTTTCTCTTGATCTTTCTAACTAGTACCCCTTTGCAGAATTATTTATATTTTTTATTTCATATCACAATGCATCATACACACTGGAATTGTACACCATACTTTAAAACACGATTTCGCCACTGGTTTGTATACTTATCTTCATAAGCTACTTTGGGGCTGTGGCGTGTAGAGTCGATTTTTCTTTTTTAAATCTCTAGGGACTAGAGGGCCCAAAACTCAGATTTTGACACCTACAAAAGGTTGACTTAACAAATGAATGACTGAATGCTAAGAAAATAAATCAACAGAAAAAGCTACATGCCATAAAAAGTACTTATAACACTATGGTAGTTAAAATTCTCAATTATTCCAAATGTTTAATCGCAGAAAACATAGCGAAATCAATTTGGTTATATAAACTAGTGGAAGGTTATAAGATGATTAATATGATACTAATTCTCTAAATATGAATGTGTGTGAGTAATAAAATATAAAAATTAATGAATTTGCATAGTATAAATTTAACTGTAAATATCTGTTTAAGCAGGATGATTATTGGACAGAAATGGTAAAGTGGAAATAGTTTTTATATATTAGGATTATGGAGTGTTTTAATTTTTAATGTTTTTGGTGTTATCATTATTTGTATATATCTCTATACATATTTTAAAGCTTGTACAATAGTGTCTAAGGTATAATGTATTTAAGAAAGAAAAAATACATGATACAAAAGCTCTAAATTCATGCTGTTATTTTAGAAAATTATGATCTGCAATAATAAAAACATTTTTCTCATTATTCCCTAAATACACACATTAGCTGAGACATGAATTTCAAAAAAGGGTACTTACCTTTAAGACATAGGTGATGATTTTTGATATTTTTATTCTATTTTATTTATCCTGTTCCATGTTATTTTTTTAATGCTGATTGACTCACTAAATGGTTTAGTGACCCACTAATTCCACATGACTCTCAGTTTGGGGACAGGGTACTTTACCAAGGATACTTGTAAACTTAAAAAAATTTGGTGTATATTCGTTTCATGAGAACATCTTAATTATTGGTTTATAATAGACAACATATACCAGGATTTCATTTCATATTTTATTAAATGTCAGATAGATGTCTAGGAAAACAGACTATTACATATACTTCCTATATAGTTACCATCTGGTGATGGAAGCTTCTAGAATTACTACAGAAGTTCTTCATAGGAAATAGCCAGGTAGTGTTTCAGATTTGAGGCGGCCTAAAAATTACCTGGGAGAGACTGTTGAATTTTAGATTCCAAGACCCATAACTTAAGAGATTCTAATTCATCGATGGGCCATACAAACTTAAATTCTTAAACATACAAGTAGAAATTAACACAGGTAAAATGTCATTTTTAAGTCCATTTTCTTTAGTGGTATGCATTGCAACTAGACATAATTCAGTTCTTATAAACACTGTATCAAAGAACAGTCACAGTCCCTATATTTTGTCTAGGTTGCCACTACTTTTTACTAGAGAGTGTGTCTGACTTGGGATCCCCAAATTGAATGGTATATAAATATTGGTTTATAGCTTTCTTTTCTTTCCATAACAAGCCCAGCTCTGTATTGCTGTCATTTCTTTATGCACATGGTTATTCCTAATATTAATTCAAGAGAATACCTCCCAATAGAAAAAATGTGATATTTCTTCTTTGATAAGCTCGATTACAGTTTGAGTTGATTAATACAAAATGTTCTTATTATTACAATTAATAGAGACATAATGAGTCTTATTCTTCTGTTGCCTTGGAGCTAAACATCCTACACGACCCTCCAGTGTTAAATCATTTCATGTGTCTTAAGTTTCTCCTCGGGAGTAATTTATATCTGCAGAGATTCTGTTTAAAGGCCTGTCAATTTAATATCATTTGCTACTTAAGAGATGAAATCAAACAATGAACTCAGGCCAAGAACATTCATTCTCTATGTGTCCTTCGAATGCAGGCAAAGAATACACATCAAGTTGAAAAATCAAATCATTTGACCACAGTAGTATATCATTATTATTTGTCTATTATAATTGCTACTATCTATTCTGCCACGAAGACTCAATTAAAGAAAGTAGATCAATTGTGAACATGTTAATTACATTAGCATCTTTTCAGATTCCTGACTTAAAGGAGTAGCTGTAGGAAAATATAATCAATTTTCAGTGAATTGATTTCTTGAGTCACCCTCATCAAAGAGCCCATTTATTATGTTGTGGAAATGAAGATAATTTTAATTAATATTTTAGTAATGTGAGCTACAGGGCATCTTCTTTAATCACGAGAACTGAATTCCCAAACTATACCCTTAAAGAATTCACAGTATTCCATGAAATGAAAAACTGAGAAGTGGAAAATGAATGGTAACAGGCCCATCGGCAATCTGGTTCTTAGTGCCTGTTTTTGATTCCAAAAGTGTGTGTGTCACAAAAATCTGATATGAAAATGAAGCCTCTGCATTTTCGAGTTTAAAAGGATTTATTGTGGCATGAAAATAAAAGCAGAGAATGATAATATGTTCACTGGTAAACATTCACGGAGTACTATAACAATAATAGTTATAACAATATAATTAATTATATTGTTTACAGTCATCTCTGTAATTATATACATAAGCTATTTAATTTGAAAAACCAATGTTCTGGGATTTTTTTACTTGTGAAAATGAAGCTTAAAAATTAACTTTATATAAACGCAACTCCGATTTCGTTTTCTACAGCCTCCCCAATTTTTCAAATACAGTAACTAGATGATTGAATTTGAATACTTCTAAAGTTTCTAATGTGGTGTAACTAAGATCCTACAGCACCTAAATATCATTTAAAACAAAAATTCATAATTTTTTAGAGGATCTCTGGGCAAGCGGAAAAGGAAAGCTAGCTGTCCACAGGGTTTGCAGGGAGCAGGGGGCACCCTGTAGGAGGAAGGAAGAAGAACCCAGAATGGCTGTGTATCACCCAACACTTTGTCTGAGAGTCCAGTCGAAGCACATATCTGAATGAAAATCCCTTAGTCTGCAATGCTTTACGGTAATATATTTCCTCTCCTGAATCTGCTTTATAAAATACAGAACATAATTGTAACTGTTATTTTAAATGATCAATGTGTACTGTTCACTTATTTTATCCAATTATTTTTTATATTTGCTATTGCTATTTTCCATTGGTGGTTTGCTACTTATAAAATGCTTTTAAGTGTTGCTATCCATCCGAAATACTAATTCCTCGGCTTTGAGATCTGCAGGGCAAAATAAAAAACCTCCTAACATCTCCCTTTTGACGGTCAGACTTAAACAAGATGCGCTGTTTAAACACAATGAGAATAAAGAAAGGAGATGTCATTTCTGAGGGGGGCTAAATTAACCCCAGAAAGAGAAAGCCGGGGTGACACAGCTTCCGAAACATCAGTAGTAACTGATGACAAAGTTGGAGTTCAGATACACATTGAAGAAAACCAGTCCCTACGGTTAAACATGTACCAACGCTCTGCTTTGTTTCACACCCACCAGAAAACCTGGCGTGCAGAGCAAGGCGGGATAGCAGAGGATGCAAGGCACAGAGCATCTTACCTGCAGACCGATGGGACCAGGAGGTCCTGGGAACCCTCTTGCCCCCTCATCACCTTTCTGTCCAAACATCCCCTGTTGACCTCGGGGACCTGGCTCACCGTCACCTCCCTGGCAGAGAGAAATGAAAATGACGGTAGACTAGAAAGATTATGATTCTGGTACAAGTCATCCTAAAAGTATAGCTGCTTCGAATTTAATCAAAACTGGCCTATACGAGTAACTGAGTAAAAAGTACATAAAATTTCCACGATCTATGGCAAATATGCCATTATTTGTTTTGTTTATATTCTGTGTATCTGGAATATGACTGGTTTTTATATTCTTATGGTTACTAACTGAAGTGGATGTTTTGTAATAAGGGAACAACAATGTTCAGAATTTAATACAAATGAGGTACTTCTCAAGGAGTTAGGATGTATTTTAAGATGAAATCACACCCTTGGCTGGGTGGGTAAATTGGTTAGAGTGTCAGCCTATAAACCAAAGACCATGGGTTCAAATCCTAGTTAGGACACATTCTTAGGTCGCTGGTTCTGTACCCAAAGGCAACCATTGATATTTCTGTCTCACATCACTGTTTCTCTCCCTCACTGATACCTCTCTCCATCCCCCTCTCCCGTACCCTCTTTCAAAAATCAATATGCATGTCCTCTGGTGAGGATAGAAAGAAAAAAAAGATGAAGTCACAACATTCTTTGTTTATCAAAATCAGCTTGCTTAGGTACATTAGATCACCTTAATTCCAATCAACATTAAGCATTCGATCCAACTCATCCCTCGTGCAATAGACTGGTTATGTGACATTTCATAAATCTAATCAGGGGCTGGGAGGATTCTCATCGGATGAACTAAGAGGAAGACTTACAGCAATTCCGGGGGCACCGACAGGACCCTGCAGACCTGGGGGGCCAGGAGGACCCTGCGGTGAGATAAAAATCAGTAATTTTGAAACCGAAGCCAGAATAGCCTTGCAGTACAGTGTAGAACATTTGACTGATCAAAATCTATTAAGTGTCTGGACTCTTCGTGGTGATACGCAGTCAACCATCCTTGATTTCAGTCCTGGAGAAATAGACGTGCCTATTCGTGATCAATTTTAAATCGGCAGTTATTGAAAATGCTTATATCTGCGATGTTTAAAAATGGATTTCTGTGCTGATGTACACAGTGCTCACATTTGGAAAATTTCAAAATACCAGATTTCTCCTAATGAGATATGTGTGAGTCAGAATGAGCACATGAAAAATTTGTCAGTGTGCTTTCACTCTAAATGCATATTAGGATTCAGAGGACTCTATACATGTAGAATGCAGTGATATGTGAAATTTAGGATTTCCCCATATGTAGACCTGTGCAAACTCAGCGTTCTTTATTAAGTATTCCAGAACTCCTTACTGTGACCAACAGATTTTAATAGGTTTGTTAGTCTTACGTGCACAAGTAGTCCTTGTTAACTGCCCGTTTATGTGTAAAGAAATGCTAAGGCATTTTAGAGAGAAAAAGAATCATCAGATTATATTGCTCCTTCTCATAACCACTACACATTGGGAAAGGCGCTTCACACAAAGATTCTGATCGTGTGGTACATGGACCATTGGGCACATAAAGTCTTCTCAGGTTTGCGCTGGGTCAAAATTCTTTTCATAACAACTGAGACTTGATCTGTCTTTAAACCATAAGAACATTTGAACTAACAGTGGGTAAAACTGATGATGTCTTAGCCCCGTTCTGAGGCTTTTAGGGTTGGAATTCTTGCATATCTTTGAACGTGCATAACTTGAAAAAGAAGTTGTACTAGAATTGACTGAATACAAAGTAATAGTGAATGTAAAGTGTCATAGAAAAATACAATTTAAATAAAAAATAGAATGGACTGAATCTTAAAGGAAATAGTATGGATAATATAATTTGTTGATATGTAAGTAGTACTAATGAAAACTGCCCGTGGATGTTAGCAAAAGGGGGTGAATAAATAAAGCACCTTAATAAAAAAGTAGGAAACTCACATTTTCTCCTTTGTCGCCCTTGCTGCCTTTTTGTCCAGGTTCACCAATCTCGCCCTGTATTTGAAAGTTTCAGGTAAGTTCCTCTCCCATGTATTTCAGAAGCACATATATTTAAACATAAATAAGCAGTTCTGTCATTTGCTATTTTTTCTCACTACCATTGTTCTCATACATGCTCTCTTTTCTTGCTTATGCCCCGCATATCATGGGGTGGCTACGAATTCTCAGCCTCTAAACTAAAACTTTTGAGCACATGGAAGTTGCATGAAACTTTGGGAAAGGTAGCTTAGGATCTGGCGTCTAATCTTAGAAAGATCACATCTAGAATTATTAGAAAAAATGTCCTTTACGATGGCAATACTAAGGAAAGAAGACCACCAACCTTGTCGCCGTCCTCTCCAGGGGAGCCCGCAGGTCCGGCTGGCCCGGGGAGACCCACGGGGCCCTGCACCCCATCTCTGCCCGCAGGGCCCTGGGGGCCTTTTTCTCCCTGTATCAAAAATCCAACAGACCGTTACTGTGTTGGAAGACACCTGTCCCTTAGCCACTTGCTACAGTTTGAAGGTGCAGCTCTAACTCATACTCCACCCTCCACATTAGACAAAGCAATCGCTTAATGTTCGCAAGAAAGGAAAATACTTTGTAAATGAGGATGCAAAACATCCCTGCATTTGCTTACGACCAAGAATGCTATCCTTGAGAACCATTTATGAATGAATCTCAGGGTGTGATCCACAGATATAATTGACTCATCTTGGAATTTTCACTTTAAACACCCATTTTCTAATCAAGTATTGTATATCAATAAATCGCATGCTCAATGCTTGCAAGAACTCGCTAAGCCTTTACTCCTCCCTGGTGATACTGGGTAGCTAAATAGGCCTAAACATTTATAGAAATTCATCTGTTCTGTGCCCAATTTCGCCGTAGGCTTTACGGGTGACCTTTTTATATTTTTAACAAATGTGTCATGGAGGCTCCCAAGTTTTGATATTTTAATCCATTGCTGCTTTCACTTATGCAAAATGGCAAGGCTCTGAGCCTTTTGGTTTTGTTTTGCTTGTTTTTTTGACAGTGGCATTATTTTCCTGTTTTAAAATTCACCTACTCATATATTGTGTAATAGTAAAAATAAAGCCTTGATAATGAAGATGTCTTGCGTTTTCTGTTTAAGAATTCCTTTGAGAACTTAGAATAATTTATTCTCGAAAAGTCACGATGTCATCAGTTGAGCCCACAGTGACTTGCCTGCGTTCGCAGCAGCCAGCTCTCCAGCCGCTTCCTTCCCTTGCCACCTCCTCCTGGCCCTTTACCATGACCAAGTTTTATTCCTTGAATGTATTTACTTCACTTTCTCTCCATCATGGACAACTTATCCCACATCTGGCCACTGAAATAACCTCTTCCCGTCCTCACATCTATTCTTACTTCCAAATTCTTCCCTTCGATGGAACCAGAGAGAGACACTCGGACAGTCTAACCAACATCCTGCTGTTCCTAAGGGATTCCTAAGATGAAGCCCAGTTGTTAGCGTGCTCTGCCGTGGTACTGGGCTCCTACTACCTGCCCAGGTACATGAAGCCTCCTCTGGCCCGTGCTCTCTGCATTCCAACCCCTCTAGACTTTTTTCCAGGTAAACCTGATTCCAGCCCCTCCTGTCCCTTGGCCTGAGCAAGGGTTATTCCCTTGGCTTGGGACACTAATCATATAAGGACTCCGCTCAGCTAATTTCTTCTCATTGTTTACACATCACCCTTGGTGTCCTGTCCAAGGGAAGGCCAAGTCCAGCTCAGGCCCCTCTCTCAGGCCCCTCTGTTCTGAGCTGACACACACCAGTGCGCTTTCTTCACACCGCTAACCAGAGCTTGTAATGCCCCACATGCTTCCTGACTCTTTGCTCCTTATCTAATTGCCCCATCGGACAATAAACTGTGCGAGGGCGGAAGATGTCTGATTTTGGATTCAACTGCATCCTTCCGGCCTGTGGCCCAGACTAACCACTTAAGGAGTATTTAATTTGTCATTTAATTTGTTAATTACTTCATGGCAACAAAAGGGACAAAATATCTACAGAGCAAAGTTAACTCTGATTTATTATTTTCCTGGATTTCATGTGATCTTATTTTTCAAACCTGTGTCGAAATTATCATTGAAACCATGCCCCTGATAGCACTCGGGAGACCTTTTATTTCCTTCCAATCAGATACTGTATGTTACACCTAAGTCTGCTCATAAATATGCCATGCTGCTCACAGCGAACTTCGCTAGTTTAAACATATCGGTGAATCAGCTGAATCAAGATATTTCTCCTTCATTTGGATTTCTTGTGAACCTGAACTCCAAACATCAATTCTTTCATACAAGAGTCTCTGTAAATAAGCCAGATTGATTCTTCTCTGCCTTCATTATAGTACACATATAACCTACAGCTAGGAGTCACCTGCCACTTACTTCCTCTGATCCCGGTCTGTGTGGAGTCAGGGGGGAAAAATCAACTGATCAACATTCTCTAAACTTAGATTTTTCATCTACAACTCGCAAGATGACAAACCCTTCCCCCATTGTGTATCTCTCGGCCCCGAACCTGCGGGACCACCAGAAACAACATCTGTCCCCCCTGGAGAAGTACTTATTTTATCATTTCTACACCTTCATTGATAGAATAGCTGAATCTTACTTACAGAATTAACTACTCATTTCCATGTCTGATTTGGCATAATTTTATATTAGCCTATATAACAGTTCACAGAATCCATCCCTTCTTATCCAAAAGCCAACTTATTCACTTATTTTCTAGTTATTCACTCATCCTTTTTTATGACAACTCTGCCTCACATGACAATGATGATGATGACGATGATTCACTGAATAGTTATCACAATTACACAAAGTGACTTAGAACTACAATGTCATCTAATCCCCACAAATTACTGTGGCTGTCTTCCCTTCAGAGATGAAAAAACAGAAGTTTGGAAATGTTAAATGATGTAGCCAAAAATCATGAACTAAGGAAATGGTAAAACCGAGCTCCCAACCCCATTCTGACACCTTTAACTTCTTCCCTTTCCACCAATTTTTTCTTCTTATTGGATAAATCCAAACGTATATGCGCATGACCCCCAGGTTTATAATCCTGACACTGATCATTCTCTGTATTACATACATGTGTGTTTGAAACTGCATTTTTTCTCTTATCTCCAATGAGTATCGCCTGACCCACTTACAGTTCATACATTGCCTTCGCTGTTTCTGATGTAGCATTTCCCCCCCATTTCTACAGCTGTCTCCCAAATGGGTATATCATCAACATCATTTCCTGTCTGTAATCTTTGAATCTGGTGCTCCCCTAATGCAATTAGTAGCTCTCTTCAGCAATTATTCTCCCCATCAAAATATGTCTATCAGTGCAGTAAGTTAGGAGAGATTTTAGCTCCACTCTCCGTGCCGACCCCTGCAACCCGGCGTTTCTAATCTGATTGACTGATGTGAAGATGCAGACTCAGCGTCTGCTCTGCAGTCAATGCCATAAGTAGGTCATGCAGATGGATGTTCGAGGCTCATTTTCTGCTTCCTTCCTTCCAAGGAGCTGGGCTGGTGGGTGAGGGTACCTGGGGTTTGCCTTGCACAAACCCTCCCCTTGCGTTTCTCTGTAGAAACCTCACCCTGCCCACGGTCACGTGGTGTCTTATAACGCGTGAGCTGGTCAGGGGAGTTAAAATGCAACACGAACATCTGGGCTGAGGAAAAGGGGAAAGCTAAATATCTTCGCTAGTATTTCCATCAGTCTTTACTGAAGCTCTGCATGGAGGTCTGTGGCTATTTTCTCTCAAGGATTTCATAACCATTGTATGCTACTATACCTAAAATACACACTTTCTTGGAAAAAAACGTTTCTTAATCCAGTGTCCAGCACTCAGTTGCTGGCAATTGCTGTTGTCGAACACAAGAACAAGAGGATGAACATCTTGGCTTTTTTGTTGGTGGTGGGAATGATCAGGAGGCAGGTTGGGCAGGCCATTCTGTTCTCCCACCTGGTCATAATCAGATCAGTCACCACCACAGCCCAGGCGCAGAGCCTTTCCTGGGCTTCCCCTCCGCAATTTCTCTTTCACCTCAACAAACTTATTTCTTCCGATCACTTTCAGTACTTTTCCATTTCCTAGTCTTTGTTTCGGTATTTTAGTTCTTCATAAAGTCAAGGTATTGAACCACTTTAAAACCCATAATTCAATATATTCACAGAATTCTCGACTTCTTCATTAGTATATTCTCAATTTGTACAAAAAGCAATGTATGTTTTTGTTTTCTTCTGTATATGCCTTCTTCACTGTGTTGTGCCAAGATGTAAGTGCCCTGGACGTTTGAATGAACTGGTATGAAAAGGCCTGAATCTATGTCATTCCTCTCCCTTCCCAGGGCTCAGGGTACTAGAAAAGTTTACGGACAAATCTTTATAGTTTTTGAGGTTGGTTGGAAATTAGAGAACTTGTAAGAGGCAGGCAAAGAACAATTTTTCACTGTTGTTTATTAACATCTCAGAAAGTAATGTCTAGATTTCCAACACATTTACTAAGCTGAAAATATACTATTACTTAAAAAAATTCTCAGTAACTCAATATGCTTTTTTCTGTTCCCCCCCAATTCTGTCCCAGGTGGCATGGCTTCATTTTAATATTTTAAATGTTTCTGAAAGATAATGGATTACACAAAGCAATCATTCTAATTTGAAAAAACCTGAGTAATATCACAAACAGAAATGAGAGAAAATGCTTAAATAATGAAATCAACATGCTTAATCTGAATCAACTTGCTAAAACTAAAGTCTTAGTGATTAAAAAAGTTTAAAAAAATTATAGGCATAAACTAGATTATGTATTTCAAGACTTACATGTATGCAGAAGTATTAAATGCATATGTATGTATGCTTGTCAGCTATTTTCAACTGCATTTACCGAACAAGTCTGTGTTTTAATCTTGGAGGATGAGAGAAAGCTTTCATGTTTTAGAAAATTAACATGATTAAATGAAAAGCAGAAACAAAAATAGGGAAGAGATCTTGACAAAGAGACAGGAACCTAGTGAACAGAACAGCCCATGATCACTGAAATATAAAAACTTTTCAAGTCCAATAACGATTAAGATGAGATAATTGGTCACATGTTTCCATTCTCATTCACTGTAGACCAAAACTGAAATTACATGAGAAGAATAGCCACTTTCTATGGCTTTAACTTGCATGAAAATGATTGGAAATATCATTACACAAGGGGAGGGTTTGTGCAATACTCGTATTCCAGGGAGAGTGAAAAGTGCACACTTTCCTAATACAAAACAGCAAGGAATAGCTTTAATCAAAACTCCAATTTTATTTTTTTTTAAAGGGGCAAAATCAGGAGCCTTTTAGATTAATAACATCCAACTCCCTTGCAGGTATTAGGGTTTCATAAAGCATGGAAAAATGCCACCTCACTTAATTGAATTTGAAATTTTCGGTATTATAAAAATGAAAAGGAGTGAGCTTACATGCCAGGCACACACACAGGGAGAACACAGTGGAGTAGCAAGAGCTAATATCCCTGAATAAAAAGTAATAACTGTGTAGCGTGGCAGGATCATATGTTTTCTCCTTGAGATTACTTACGGGTGCGCCCTTTTCTCCAGCCGGACCAGGAGGGCCCTGGGGTCCCGGGCGCCCTGGCAATCCGATGGGGCCCGCTGTTCCTGCTGCTCCTCGTTCTCCTGGCGAACCCTGGACACGAGGTGGGGCGGGAAGTATGTTGTTATCGATGATGGAAAAGGTGATACTGGCATAGACATTGCTCACTTTTAGACAATGATAAGATCTCAAACAGGAACAGCGGTACTCGCTGCTTTAAAGATTAATCTCTACTCCAATATTAAAGTTAGGAAACCCTGATAAGATACAGCAATTTCAACATTATATATATTTAATATTTAAAATGTTATCTTTTTATTTAAATGTAAAATTATTATAAAATTAGAGATATGCACTGGCCTTTTTATAAAGCATGTGTGTGAACAGGATGGAAATGTTTTTTAAAATATAGCATCTAAGTGGACTCATGTCTGGTTAATACAAATTACCCAAATTTGCAGGAGAAAGGATTCCAAGTGAATGTATACTTTCCTGAGAAGCTGGGGAATAACAATCAAGACAAATACATATTTCCTTCACTGGACACATTATGATTGGCAAGGACGTGAAAATAACTCATGGCTTTTAGTTAGGAAACAGACATTGTTAATTTTATAGTGAAGTATGTTTAATCTTTCAAGTTAATTACATATATATTTTTGTATAGATGAGAGAGAGAAAGAAGGCTGATTTGAATCAATGACAATGTGAACAGTCTGTAGATATTATGTAATATTTTTATTATACAAAACTTAACTATTTTAATGACTCCCTTGGAGTATTAATAAGATTAAATTTCAGATTGCCATCTTGCTTGTGGAAACTGCATTAAAATTAACAATAAAAACATATTACTTTCCTGTAGTTAAAATACTGCCGATGATATTATCACAGCTCATTAATTTCAAAAGAGTGGATGAAAAACTTTTTTGATGTCTATTTGCTCCCTACAGTACAGCTGCAATTTCCTTTCCCATTAGTTATTTCAAACATTCTGTAAGTCGAGCTATTTTTAATAACAGCATGCTCTGCAATGATTTTATTTTATACATCTATAAATGAAAAAAGAGAAAATCTCTGATGATACGTACCGATTAAGCAAATCGTATTACAAACTTGCAAATCTTACTGAAATATCCCCAGGCCAACTTTGTAAAGAATAAGCCCATGAATCCTCCAGTTCTGTCTGAATTACTGGAGAAATCCCATTTAAAAAGAATGAAAATGTAAACCCAATAATACAAAGAGAACCCATTCATACATTCCACAGAAATGAGGTGAGAATGTGAAAATATACCACGCTGAGCAGGAACCCAGAAGGCACCGCGGTGGGTACCAGCCCTTGGACACTCACACTGCAGATGCGTTTTTTAACCATGAAGAGCAGACATGGGTAGTGATAGAAATTACCGCACTTCTCTGTCACTGGCTCTAGTACAGGACAGAGGGCTTTATAATTGGCAGATACATGAGTGCGTCTAAAACTAATACATCTAAGTTTAAACACATGTTAAACAGGTCACAATAAGCGCCGCAGGGGAAGAATTTCTACTTTTTTTCCCACTGACCCCCAGCCATTCAGGCAGTGGCTGGCACACAGCCGCCCTCAGGAAAGGAGTCAGCGGTGTGTGACTGGCTCGTCCCAGCACTGAACCACTCGCCTCTTTCCATCTTGACCAAACTGCTTAACTTCTCTGTGGCTCACTTTTCTTGCCAATAAAATTCGGATGGATACAGACTGATTTATTGGGTTTGGGGGATGTCAGTGTTTTTTATGACATGTAAAATGATATCTTCCTTAAACTATGATGCAACAGATGTTAGAGAGCTGTACATAAACAACTCTCCATTTCACACGTAGATGTGCAATCCCAAATGAGCGTCCGAGTGAAATTTTGGGAAGAGAAAACTAAGCTCCAGAAGGCGGTGTGGGCTGAGGTCACACTGTTAAAGGGAGGGCAGACCTTTGCCACCTCCCAGGACTTTTCATCCTGATGTAAACGGCTTGTCGAAGCTTAAAAGAGAGTCCAAGATGAAAAGAAAATTAAAGTCCTCATCAGCTTTTCATCTCATGTTGACTAGTTCACAGAACTAGTCAGTAACGATCACTGCCTAGATCTATGGGGGGGAACAGAAGCTGATAAAGGAGTAAGGTTGAAATAAGATATATAAATGAATGGTAGGTAATAAATAAAGGGGTTCAGCCCTGGCTGATGTAGCTCAGTGGATTGAGCATGGGCCTGCGAACCAAAGGATCGTGGTTCGATTCCCAGTCAGGGCACATGCCTGGGTTGCAGGCCAGTTCCCAGCAGGGGACGCACGAGAGGCAACCACACATTGATATTTCTCTTCCTCTCTCCTTCCCTTCCCCTCTGAAGATAAATAAATAAAATCCTAAAAAAATAAAATAAATAGAGGAGTTCAAAATGTTCTCAACAAGTTACACACGACCAGGTTGACAGCAAGGGGAACTACAGCCATTGGGACAATAACCAATGAGTGACATGAAAACATCATAATGTAGAAATTAATGAAGTCTGAATTATTAAGCTAATTACCAAGTATAAATTGTCAACACCTAAAAGTATAGTGGTTAAAATTAAGTTGTAGTGAGGTTAAATAAGAAGGCATCTTATGTCAAACTGACCTTTCTTATTTACAAAAAAAAAATCAAACCCGTATACTTCTCTCTCTATAGCGACAATGAATAGTTTACTCATTAAAAGTGCTTACATGGAAATTCCTGAAAGAGAGGCTAAAAGCTACAGAAATATCATCACCCCAATTTGTGATTTAAGTAGCAATGGACATGCGACAAATTTGCCAAACACAGTGCGTTGCATTACATGAATTATAATAACCATGACATCAGAAAGTGTTCTGGTATTCAAATACGAAACATTGGCCCCTGCAGGTCACTTGTTTGCAGGTGGAAAGTGGACGTCCACGAGCTTTTGAAAGGGAGGACTTTCCATTTCCATATTTAGTTATTTTCTTTTACTTTAATTTTATTTTTCATTTACAGTTGACATGCAATATTATTTTGTGTTAGTTTTAGGTGTACAGCACCTAAATATATTTATTCACTATGTTAAATATATTTTATTCATTATGTTATTACAGTTGTTCCACTTTTTCCCCTTTATTCCCTTCTGCCTTGTACCTCTCCTCCCACCAGCATTCCCCCACCTTAGTTCATGACCATGGGTCGTACATATAAATTTTTTTGTTTCTCCATTTCCCATACTATTCTTAATCTCCCCCTGTCTAATTTGTACCTATCATTTATGCTTCTCATTCCCTGTAACTTTCCCCCATCCTCCCCCCTCCCCTTCCCCATTGATAACCCTCCATGTGACCTCCATTTCTGTCATTCTGTTCCTGATCTAGTTGTTTGCTTAGTTCATTTTGTTTTTTGGTTTTTTTAAGTTCAGCTGTTGATATTTATGAGTTAGTTGTCACTTTACTGTTCATATTTTTTATATTCTTTTTCTTAAACAAGTCCCTTTAACATTTCATATAATAAGGGCTTGGTGATGATGAACTCCTTTAACTTGACCTTATCTGGGAAGCACTTTATCTGCCCTTCCATTCTGAATGATAGCTTTGCTGGATAGAGTGATCTTGGATGTAGGTCCTTGCCTTTTATGACTTGGAATACTTCTTTCCAGCCTCTTCTTGCCTGCAAGGTTTCTTTTGAGAAATCAGCTGATAGTCTTATGGAAACTCCTTTGTAGGTAACTGTCTCCTTATCTCTTGCTGCTTTTAAGATTCTCTCCTTATCTTTAATCTTGGCTAATGTAATTATGATGTGCCTTGGTGTGTGCTTCCTTGGGTCTAACTTTTCTGGGACTCTCTGAGCTTCCTGGACTTTCTGGAAGTCTATTTTCTTTGTCAGATTGGGGAAGTTCTCCTTGATTATTTTTTAAATAAGTTTTCAATTTCTTGCTGTTCTTCTCCTTCTGGCACCCCTATGATTTGGATGTTGGAACATTTAAATTTGTCCAGGAGGTTCCTGAGCCTCTCCTCTGTGTTTTGAATTCTTGTTTCTTCATTCTGTTCTGGTTGAATGTTTATTTCTTCCTTCTGCTCCAAACCATTGATTTGAGTCCCAGTTCCCCCCTTGTCATTATTGGTTCCCTGTAATTTTCCTTTATTTCACTTTTCATAGTCTTCACTTTTTTTTCTGTTTTGTGACCATACTCAACCATTTCTGTGAGCATCCTGATTACCAGTGTTTTGAACTGTGCATCTGATAGGTTGGCTCTCTCTTTGTCACTTAGTTGTATTTTTTTCTTGAGCTTTGATCTGTTCTTTCATTTGGTCCATTTTTTGTCTTGACTTGCCTGTTATGTAGTAAGGGGAGGAGCCTTAGGTATTTGCCAGGGCAGGGCAATCATGTCACTGCGTTGTGACATTGTATGTGGGGGAGGGTCCAAGAGGGAACAGTGCCTCTTCCTTAGCTCTCCACCAGCTTTCAGTCACTTCCCCCACTACCCACAAGAAATTGCTCTCTTTTGGTGCTGATTCCCAGATGGTGGGTTTGTATATATTCTAGGACCCTGTGGGTCTCTCCAACAAACTCTTCTATGAGGTGGGGAGTTTCTCCCACCTTGGCAACCCCCATAAGTGTTTTCAATCAGAGGTTTGAGGCTTTACTTCCCCCCTGGAATCCTGGATTGTTCCTCCAGTTGTTCATCCAGGTTTATTCACACATGAATGTGGGGCCACCTGGTCCTCCATCCACTGTCTGCCTGGTGTTCTCTCTGCCTGGCCGCCTGCCTCCACCCCTTCTACCTGTCTGGATGAATGTTTCTTCTTGAATTCCTTGGTTGTTGGGTTTCCATACAGTTTGATTTTCCTGGCGGTTCTGGTTATGTTTGTTTTGAAATTTGTTGTTGTCCTTTTTTTACTTGTGAGAGGAGGCAAAGTATATCCACCTATGACTCCATCTTGGCCGGAAGTCACAGTATTATTGATTATATTCCCTGTGCTGTACTTTACATCCCTGCGACTATTTTGTAACTACCAACCTGCACTTCTTCATCCCTTCATCTGGTTCACCCAGTCCCCCAACTCCCCTCCCCTCTGGC